GTAAAGTATTCAACTAAGCAAAATGAGCAGACAGCTTTGTAATAGGGCTGAGTGATTTTTGAAAAAGATAAAAATAAAAATCTAACTGCGATTTTTCTGCCTGATGTTGTGATTCGATTTTTTAAAAAAGTTTAGCTAAAGTTCAATATTCACTGCCAGTCTATTTTTGACTGAAGCTGCACAGAGCAAATGAACCGGGCAGAAAGTCAGACACAGAACGGCATAGAGAATCCAGTTGAATTTCAAAATAAAACACCCTGTGCAGACTCCCGATCGTATATCAACAATAAACACAGTTAAAAACAGACAAAAAAACAATTTAACTACGTAGCCGAGCTTATCATGATAGAAGCACAAAAATCAAGGGCAACTGAACAAATTAACAAAATCTGAACAAGTCTGCAATTTCAGGCAGGCAAACGCTCTTATTCTGAAATTCTCCATGTGAGAGATATAGCCTGCACAGAGCGGAACGAAACGGGCTCCCAGAGAGCTGTTGAATCCGTAGTTGAAGCACACAAAATGACAAATTAACGACACGTCAACAACGCAGGGCAGCTAAACTCTCCGCTGCTGAAACACTTCAGTGTGAGTTGATACCAGACAAAACCGCAACCATCTGCTCGCCTGACGCCACTATCCCACGTCTTCCTCCAGTTTTGTTTGTTTGATGTTGTTAAATGTGCACGCCCTGTGCCCGCTCTGATTGGTGAGTAGGACATAAACACAGTCAATAAAACACAATGAAGAGAAAATCTCAGCGTGCGATGTTTGTTAGTAGAATAAGACACATCTTGATCGGCAGTCAGCCTCTTAGTGATGCTGTTTGTTGCTCAAATGATTATTTTTACAATGTACAGATTACGAATCCCCGCTAATCCTTTACGGTAGACAAAACATAAAGGTGGAAGGGATGTCAAGGCATGCACGACGTCCACGTTCTAGCATTTCATCTCTCATTTCCTGCAATTTTACACTAAAATAACAGCCAATCAGCTGAAACAGCCCATATATCCAGCTGGACTAACACAACACGCTGACGTGTCACAACTTTCAGAGGCTGAAATCAGGTTACCAAAGTGCTCCTACCAAATCCCCAGCAGTATTCCAGTAATCTGGCCCTGATGATAATTGTGTGGTGATGACTGATGAGTCTTCGCCGTGCGTGGCGCTCTGCTGCAGGTACTACCGTGGAGCGGTGGGGGCCCTCCTGGTCTATGACATTGCCAAGCATCTAACTTATGAGAATGTGGAGCGCTGGCTGAAGGAGCTGAGAGATCACGCTGACAGCAACATCGTCATCATGCTGGTGGGCAACAAGAGCGACCTGCGTCACCTCCGGGCTGTTCCCACAGACGAGGCGCGGGCTTTTGCTGGTAAGACCATAATGTTCAGTTATTAAAAACTATTTCCTGGCCAAGATCAGCAGCAAATCAGATAAGACTTCACAAAGAGAGACCAGTTTGTGCAATTTTAGATCTGTTGGATGAAATGATTACAGCTGGGGATTTTGTTAAGTAAGGAAGGAGACGTGCTCTGCGATAGGATTTTAGAAATGAACTATGACGGGGCGCACACTTTATTATTATTTCTTTTTTTATTTCAGCCGTTTAAACAAACAGATTGAGAAACGTGAGTCTTACGGATAACAAATGAGGCTTGACATGTAGGCTGGAAGAGGTGTGATGAAGAAAATGCATCAGTAATAGTTAGGGGTGGGAGAGAGAAAAAAAAAAAATCTATTCTTAGATGCATCACGATGCAGACGTGGAAGATTCTGACTCGATTACCAAATGTCAAAAAAATCAATTATTTAAATGTTAATCGATAACGTAATGTTATTGGTGTGGGGTGGTGATGGTACAGTGGATAAGACCCGAGTTCAAGTCCCCACTGTGACACATCTAATGTGTTCCTGAGCAAGACACTCCTCTGGAGCAACCCCTTTCACATATATAGCAATTGTAAGTCGCTCTGGATGAAAGCGTCAGCTAAATGAATAAATGTAATGTTGACGGAAAGCAAAAAAGGCGGAACTTGCAGAAGTGCATCGCCCGGACCGCCTGTGGCGTGCACATAACAGAGAGACCAGTGTTCCCCCTGTGTTCAGCACACCACCGCTACTACTAAAATGTCACACGATCATTTATATCAATGTGCAAGTAATGATTTTAACTCTTAACGCTCCTGTGTGTGAGGGAATGAGAGAGAGCAAGCGGCAGAACAGGACGCTGAAAGTTAGTGGCGAAAAATATTAGCAGTAGGTTTCTGTCTGAACGTGCAGTGTAGCTCACAGTGTGTCCGTTAATAAAAGTCTGTAGTTTCCCCAACTGCTGGAAAAGTGAAGGCGTTTAGCGCTAGCTGACATCTTCTCTGTACAGCATGTTTTTTTGTCCGTTATGTAACGTTAGCGAATTTAGTAACAAAGTAATATTAATTAGTTCAGCTGTATGTCATTAGTTCTAACTTACGTACTTGTCAAGGGTTGAGAACATCAGGTACAAGCTCAGACTTATCTGGTGTACAGCTCTGTCCTGTACACATCCTGATAGTTATATTTCAGTTTTCGGAGGAGTCTCACAGCTGGCTACTAAAGAAATGAGGGACCATGGAGCTGAGCTTAATGAAATGTATTAGGGATGCAAACTAGTCCTTTTAAGCTAATGAGGAGATGCTTCTTTTGGTTTTTAATATGCAAATTAAATGCTTAGTAATTATCCAGCGATCCTGTATAGAGAGAAAAAATTATGCATCAAGATGCATCGATAATTGTTTTATAAATCGCATCGCAGCCCTCTGAATCGATGACGTGCCAAGAGATTCCAACCCCTCGTAATAATGTTGTAAGTAGTATTTACAAAAAGCTAAATATATCTAAAATACCAATAAGTATGTTGGGTGAAGCACCCCTGCCCCCAGAAAGTCTAATATTCTGCCTAAACTCGAGACTCGACTTTCCGTGCACAGCCCTGGTGATTTGTAAATTATATTATGCTGTGTATCAATCATCCATGTTCTAATGATTCTGATTGGTGCATTGAAATGATAATTTTTCAGTTATTGTGTAACGCAGTGAACAAATGATGTTGGTAGTTCCACAATCACACATTTCTGTTATCTGTGGAATGTCTGAAACATGTTTAACGTGACCTGTTGCTCAACTTCGCCCTGCAGAGAAGAATGGTTTATCTTTCCTGGAGACGTCAGCTCTGGACTCCACCAACGTCGAGACGGCCTTCCAGACCATTCTGACAGGTTTGTATCTTAACATGCTTGCACCATCACATACTCATGTCCACATTCATCCACCCACAGTCATTACAGAGAGAAAGGAGCTCATTTACAGAAGTCAGCACTCCCTCTCACACCCCACAGAATTACCATTTATTGAGGAAGGGAGAGTTCAGTTCTTGTCGCAGGTGTTTTTATTATCGGAGCTCAGAGCTGTCCTTTTTTTATGAGGGTGATTAAAGTGAGAGGGGAAGTCAGGTAGAGCGAACTTCTGTTGCTGGGCAGATATACAAACAGAGACAGAGCCACGCCACTGCACTGGGTTAGCTTCATCACACAATGACTGTCTGAATAGCTTATCTTGTAGGAGGGGCAAACCTTTTGTTATCACGAGTGAGATGAACAACTGAAAGTGTTTTGTTGTTTTGTGTATTTTGGTTCTGCTGGTGTCTGTACACTATCTGTATGAAAGCCACGTCTGTCTGTCCTGTAACAGAGCGAGATAGTAAACACGGCGCCTTCCTTTAGTTTAAACATATAAAAAGGACATTGATTGATAACAAAATTGACACCAATTTGCTGGCTCCGAACCAGCAGTCCAGAGCTTCTGTACTAATGTTACAGGTGGAAACACTGATGCCGGGTTCACACACACACACACACACACACACACACACACCGCAAATTTTAAAATTCCCATCGTGTGAGTTTGACCACTGGATCCCTTTTCCTACCACTGGACTACTTGCACGAGCGTTCACACACTATTACTACAGCTGTATGAACATTCTGCTGTGATTTAGTTGCAATAAACGGATCAAACTGATGCCATAACGACTACATCATGATGCCAAGTTGTTAGAAATATGTCTGTCAGGAAGATGAACAGCAAACAACTTTTAAAATGCTTGAATTCCGATTGATGTTCGGATCGATTAGGGCTATGTTAACATCTTTCATCGTAAAGTCCATCGATCGCTGGAATCAAGTAACAGACATATTTCCTGAAGGCCTATCCCACCGCTCTGCCCGTTGTGACTGTCCTCTACAGATGACGCTCTGAAAAGCAGCCGCTGATGTTCGGACAGTCTGAATACAAATGTCACAATCGCATTTGGCCTCCAGCGCGCTGCCAGGCAGGTTATCGCAACTTTGTATTGACTTTGAATGTAATTGCGTGGCGCCCAACGCTCGCATCGTGTTGTGTGTGTGACACAAACATTACACACCACAGAACACCAAGCTTCCTGTCCAGGCAGAATCAGCAATAGGACTGCTAGCTACACGGCTAACTGAGTAGCTATCAGCAGCTGCTGTTGGCAGAAGTTAGCGGCTAAAGTACCGTAAAACTTCAAATAATATCAGAGTCCCAAATAGCTGCCTACATCCTTTACTGGCCTCAGTTCTTTGGATGTATAAAACCTCTTAAACCCGGCGGGGGTCGCCCGCTTTAGCTGATGCAAAGCTGCTTAGATTGTTAATACAAATATTAATGTTTAAACATGATCTATAAATCACTATGTTAGGTAGGTTTATTGTCACAATATAACAAGTTATAGAGTGAAATTGAGTTTTGTAACTCCCTTCTACTACTTGGCAGACAATATAACTTAATACAGAATCATTTCATCAAGAATCAAATCAGACGGTGGAGCTAACGGCCGTGTGCGGAGCTAGCTAGCTTGTTTAGCTAGGTGCATCTGTAATTCACGTTAACTGTCATTTTAACAGGGCTGACAAAAAACAGGCTTAAAACTAAATGTACTCACCAGAAAAGTGAACAGCCGACTCGCATTTCGCCTTTTCAACGGCGCTGGTTGAATTTACACAGTGCCGTGGGAACGAGTCACTCCCGCCCTGAAACACACTCTGCTTTATGGTCCATTTTCCTCTAAATGGGACCATAATTTACTAAATGAACATCATGTTGTATTAAAGAAGACTTGAAACTAGCGGCTGAGACCATAAACTCATCAGGAAAGTGTTTACTGAGGGAATAAATCTGCTGAGAAGTAGAAACATGTTACCGTTATTTCTAATGGAGCTGGGCCTCTTATTGCAACCAGAAGAGTCGCCCCCTGCTGGCCGTTCAAGAGAATGCAGGTTTCAGGGACTTCTGCGTTGGATTCATGTCTCAGACTGGAAGCTTCCCGCTTGGTTCAGACAGAGGGTAAAAAAAAAAAAAAGAGTATGAGAAAGTAATTTTCTAGTAGAAACCCTAAATACAAGTACGAACCGGAAAATGAGTATTCTGCGGCACCTTTAAGGCCTCTGTAATTTCGTAAAACAGGAGGAAATGGTGCATTTGTTGGGGATCGTTTGAGCAGTGGATGAATCCACATGTGGAGCTGTAGTGATTATTTGGTGCAGCAGGATGGTGTAGGTGGGACTGAGTCAGAATAAACTACAGTGTGTGTGTTCTTGGTGATGAAGGAGCATGTCGCCCAGCGCAGCAGTGAGGCTCACTGATGTGGTTTAATAGTTAACAGTAACAACGGAGCCCTATGGCTCAGAGGAAGAAGAGACGAGAGACTTGTTAGGAGATACATTGACTTAAATTACCTGGGGGCAGCTGCCTAGGTTGTTATCTTCTGGCAGTAATCCAGTTGTGTCTGCTTCAGTAAAAATACAGTTTTTAAAACTAATCTTAAACGGGGAAAAATGCCAAGATTGAACAATATGTGGGAACATTATGAAATAATCTGGACCTGGGCTAGACTGTGGTACATATGTAAGAATTTGTACAATTTGAAATGTTCACCTGTGACTCTTTATCACATTACAATGTGCTTCCTGTCGCCTGGTACCCCCAGGAAGAAATGGAAATCTCAGAAGTCACTTGCCAGGACGAGAAGTTAATTTCAAGCTAAATTTGACATTTTAAATAGTTTTTGAAATAAGAAGGTTGTAACTCTAAGTGACGGTGTTAATGTCCTCCCCTCGCTCTGCTCCTCCCATCAGAGATCTACCGTATCGTCTCCCAGAAGCAGATGTCCGAGCGCCAGGAGAGCGACATGTCCCCCAGTAACAACGTGGTCAACATCCAAGTGCAGCCCACTGAGAACAAACCAAAGATGCAGTGCTGTCAGAACATCTAGCCCAGCTGTGGATCTGCTGCTACCCCTCCTCCCCCTCTCTCCACAGTCCTCGTCTCCCTCCCTCCCCCCACCCCCCTTCCCAGCTCACAACTCCTCAAACCCCGCCCTCAGAAAATAGACTGCCTCGGTGTACTGTGTGGTGCGGGAGGGACGAGCCACAGATTCTAGGCTGTGACCCGAACTCTGCACCTATCTGTACCTGCCTCCCCCGCCCGACCCCACCCCTCCCCCAGGTAAATATATCCCAGTTTAAGAAGTCACTGCGTGAGGTGGCCCCCCCAAAGCAGAGCCCCTGTGTCGTTAGGCTACTGCAGGACAGCAGGCAGCAGGCATTTCATATCACTTTAGATTTCATTACTGTAGATGCGCTGACATGTCACAAATGTCTTAATATGAATGTTTTCTTCTCTTTTCTTCATCCTTTGTGCTCCTGTTGATTTCTCCACAAGTTTTTATGATCCGTGTCTTGTATCATATCTACTACTAGGTATATATGAATTTAAAGCACATCAAAGTTGCTCTGAAGTGTATTCCTATATACAAGCTTCTCCTCTGTCATTTTAGACCCCCCCCCCCCCCCCGCCCTTTAGTGCAATGTACTGTTTTGGAAACCATGTGGATGTATCGAGCACAGTGTAGACGTGTGCTCTGGTAGTGTCATGCCATTTGATTGCTGTTAATATGACGCTAGTGAAACGTAGAAACTTTTGCTTCAGTTTGCGCAGCGGAAAGGCCGGGGGTGAGCTTGCATGTAGCGCGCAGCCTCGCGGGCGCTGTTGTCACCGTTGTTTACAGCAGGTGGCGGGATCGGACCAGCTTTGCATGTCTTTAAAAGATGGCACTCTGCTGTGCTGCATGTTTTATCAGGTGAGAGACTCAACCTGGACTACATATGGAACACTATCATTGCCTTGAGGGTGTGTAATTTTAGGCGGTCGCCGTGAAAGCTAAACACAACTCCTGGACATTTGGATTTTTATGTTGTCCCACTTTAACTCTCATACAGAGAAAGTCATGCTTATACTGAGAAGGATTTTCTGACTGAATACACATTAGTGCATTGGGCTTTCCTGCTCCAACATTAGGAGAAATGTATGCATTCATTTTTTGACGTATTTGACTACAACTATGCAGAAACTAGCACACGGCTGTTTGGATTTTTGTTTTTTCTTAGTGCACCTCTATAGAGAATTAAGAAATTAAAAAAAAAGACAAAACAGCAAAAGTATGAGTAACTGCAGTAGTATTCTCGTATTACATTCTTATGATACTCTAATATTAAACTCTAAACTCTCCTGTCGTCTAGCAAGTTATGCATCGCATGTAACCACAGAACTGTAGTTAGGACGCACTGAGAAAGTAAGTGAATGGAAAATGTCTTTCACCCACTAGGTTGGATTTCATGAGTGTCAAACTGTTGCACTGAACCTTAATAGTTAATCTAGTAAACATGCTTTCTTGTCTAGGATTAGATTTTTACTGCACATTGAGAATCTGGACCTCTTTTGTCAGATTGGAGGAACCGTTTTTAAGGCGGTGCCACGTTTCAAGAACCAAAATGTAATGTTCAGCACTGCAGAACATAGGCTGAGTCTCGAAAGTCTTTCCTTAAGTCTTCAGTACTCCAGTGGACAGAAAAGTGTCTCCTCTGTTCAGGTTCAAACACAAGAAATCAAGGAAAAGCTTGAGGGATTCAGCCACATTCTTGCTAACTTCTGGTCACAGTGCCTCCTTCACCATGCATACCTGTCCGAAAACACCTCATTCACCTGCTAACAACTCACCATCGCACCCGCCTCCTCCTCCTTAACCAATAACCTTGCTTTGTCTGTCCTTCAAGGAGACAGACAGCTGTGTTGTCCCCGTCACGTAAAGCCTACGTACACCGAGCTGCCTCTGACTTCAACACAATGCATGGCTTTCTGTACGACTGCACCTCCGTGTCGTATCGCCTTATGTAGCTAACATTGTCATTACTGTCCATGAAATCTGCTGAGGGTAAGGCTTGGCTAGCTAGGATGACATGCTTAACAAGCTAATTGTTGTGACCAGTCCAGTCTGTAAACTGACAGATGCCTCGCTAACAATCTACTTGCTGAAACTTTCGAGTGTGTGTCCTGTTGAATTTCCAGGTTATAGCCGTGTCAGTGTGTGATGGTGTTAGCAGACATATACAATGCCTAAACTTAGTGTGTGTGTGTGCGTGTGTGTGTGTGTGTTTAGAGGCAGAGGGTAGATTGGTAGCTCTGGAGTGAGTGAGCTTGGCTGGCAGTGCCAATGGCGTTTTTGTTCGAACAGACGGCGCCGCCAGCCGAGCCTCTCCACACTCACTAGCTGGCAATCTGTGGACAAAGTGATGTTTTTTTCCTTTTCTGAATATATGATTTCTGATCCTGTTTCATGTACCTCTATCATTGTTCTGTATTTTTTTTTATTTTATTAAGAAATTTCTTTTGATTTTTTTTTTTTTACTATATTGAATTCTATAACTGACTGTAATTCCAGTGTAAACGTGTAAGAGTGAAATGATGTCATTTCAATGAATTTGGAGGGTTAAATGTGAGAGGGGGGTCAAAATGAATGGTTTTATGTTTTGTACAGATTGATAAATTGTACAATTGTGTCTATATCTTAAGTTATCAGTTCATCTTAATAAAGCGCACCAGTCATAAACCTTTATATGATGTATTTTACTATATCCTCTAATTCATGGTAACACTATTTACTAACTATAAGGAAAATAGAGACCGCGTTTAATAGGTACACTTCCAGTTACTTATGTAACAGTCTCGAGTCAGCTGAAAAGAACAGTAAAAATTGTCTGTGTGGTTGTAAATTAAAAGAATACAATTCAACAATTTCCAATAATAAAACAAACAATTTGGTTTGAACAGATCTGTCAGTTTTAGATCCGAGCCAAAGCAATTAATTAATTAGAAAAATGCTTTTTGGATGTGAATATCTTTGGGTTTCAAAGAGTTCGGCCGACAGAACAAGCAATTTAAAGATGTTTTTTTGTGTTGGGCATTTCAGTTTATAGACAATCGATTAAAACCAAAAAACAATTACAGCAGCAGTTCAAAGCAGTGCAGTGCTTCTATATAATTGACGACTTCTTTCTCACAAACTCAAACTAATGAGTGGGTACTCACTCTGTGTACTGTCTTGGGATCGTTATCTCCATTTTCTCGTTAATTAGTACCAAATTACAAAGTCCTCTCCCTGAAACTACTGAGAAAGTACAGGACTCGAGATAAAGCATCACCAAATTAGCTAATTAATCAGAACAATGTCCTGATTGGTCAGTCAGGTTGAGTTATTTTGGGTGATGAGACCTCTGTTCAGGTTGAAGGAGAGCAGAGCAATGCTGGGGTGCGTGAGGCCACCAGCTTCACAAAGTCTAATCAATCCAAATAATTGATAACACCTGTGTGAGAATAACCCTGGAGGTGCAAGGCCTGTAAACTGGTGTCAGCTGACCGATTTTGTTTTGCAACAGACCATTTTACTTGTCACAATAGTAAAAGTGTGTTTGAAATGGCTCCCTGCTATTCAAATGTCGCTGTAAACATGAAAATTACACAGCATTAACACCTGGACGGGACCTGGACCTTTTTGTTGTGACCTGTCAAAAGGTTTAATGAGACTAAGGCGTCTGGTAGATTTCCAACTCTGACTATGCTGCAATGCTAGTTTGAACTTTACTTGATGGTGTTACAACAGTGTTAGCATGCTAACATTTCCTAATTAGCATTAAACATATTGTCTTTAGCTCTACAGGTGTTTTATCATAAACCAAAGTATTGGACATATTATGTTGAATTTACGACGGTGCTAGATTAAAATCAGAGGATCACCAAAGTTAAAATTCTACCTGAATGTGAATTTCATTATAACGCACCCAATAGTTGTTGAGACTTTTCAATCTGGACCAAAGTGGTGGATTGCTCACTGCAAACATGACTCCAAAGCAACCTTTTCAACACTAGTTGATCATTTTGCTCAAATGGTTAATCCAAAGTAAACTTTTACTTTTACTAAACATGTATGAATAGGTGAGCGTGGTCCACTCAAAGGCTCACAGTGCCCCCTTTATCGGTGCATTCACAAAATTTGATATGTAGCAAGTGAGTATCTTAAATTAGAGTACTGGGTGAAAAATTTCACAACTGACGTTGATTGTGATTATGGAATCTCCAAAGAAGCATTATGGGTACTTTTCTCTTTTTTTTGTACAGGCTATCTCTGGAAAACATTATTAGTCAACATAATATGAAATACCACAGTATGCTGATGACACAAAATTGTGTATCTGTAATTGTATGATTATTAAACAACTGCTGCTTATCAAGACATGACACCACTCCCCTGAGCTATGACAACTTTATTGAGTTTAGGGCTCAAAACAAAAAGAACAACCAGCACTCGATGCATCTACTGTAGCTGAAACTATTATTTGGATCAAAGGTGAAGAAAAGACATATAAGCAGCAAATGGAACAAAAGTAGGAAATAATACATGAGAAAAGAAAGCTGTTTACATCTGATTGTCAACATGTCCTGTTATTGCTATTTGCCGAGGTATAATTATCAACATTTGTTACAAAACTGACCTACGTTACTGAAAAATTTAGCAGGATTTTATACATCACTGCTCTATTTCATATTTAATGTCAGAAATAGTTGATACAAGAACATCTGAAACACATCATTGTGTTATTTGGGAACATACATCTTATGATTTTGTAATGACATTAGTGTTGAGGTGGAAGTTTAAGTAAATTAAAGTTTAACTATTAAAATATTTCAGTGCATTAGAGTTGAAACAACTCAACAAGTCCATTACCAGTAATCTATCGATTAATCATTTAAATCATTTAGTCAAATTTTCAATGACAATTTTCTTTTCCTTAAGTGATAGTAACTGAATATCTTAGGTGTTTTAGTCGATCAGGCGGAACAAGATATTTGAAGATGTCATCTTGGGTTTTCAGAAATTGTGATGGACACTTTTACTATTTTATGACATGTTATAGGCAAAACGATTAATAGATTAATTGAAAAACTAATCGAAGGATTAATCAATAATGAATACAGTTGTTAGTTACATATTCCCAAAAAGCATGTTTCTGATTGGAGTTTTTCCCATGTTGAGACAGTCAGATGACAATAATCAGTTCGCACCAAAGGACAAAAAAAGGGTATTCATGGCTAACTATTATATCTCGAATAATCTTTGGCATGCATAAAGCTCGACACGATAAAAGAAAACCACTATAATAATCACTAGTGTACAGTGACTGTACAGCCAATACACCATTTTGCCTACAGTACATAGAAAAAAGATCACTTTTTTAGAGACAAAATATGGATCCCGTTTAGGATCTTCAAATATGTAAACACGAAATAAGAAACAATGTGTAAAAATACCAGAACTATACAGGTAGTGTAAATCTGACCAGACTGCAGTTTGTGTGCATTTATTCACATACTTCCCTTTTTGTGGGAGATTATCAGCGTAATGAGCACATTCTCTCCAGAGCTGTCCATACAAGTTTGTTTGCAGTGCAAGAAATAATGCCCATGTGATGCTTCTTCATTGTGCAGGCTTGGTAGATCCTCTGAATCCAGGTGTGACGTGGGCCTCAGTCTCGTCTTTGGCACGCACATTGACAGTCTCACCCAGATAAATTTACACGAATACCTCAGTCACTTTGCTTTTCTTTTCCTATCGTCCTCGAGTTCCCGTCTTCTGACACATGTGGGCATACGACGTTTATATTTCCTCGATTGACATTTTGTTGATGAGGGGGACTTTACAATACAACACAAATATGTAGTATTGACTGGCACAAAAACAGCTCAAACAGTTTGAATATAATACAGTGATAAAATGATAAACATTCTCACACACACACATACAATCTTTCCATCATTCCAATCTTTCCATGTTCTGTCCCAGTTCACAGTTTCCTGGTTCTGGATGAACTGGGAGCACTGGTCCAGTGTCCAGTCTGGCTGCTGGGGTCTAGAGCAGTGAGCTTGTGGGGCTGCCGGGCAGCGGAGGGCTGTGGCTGTGCAGGGTGAGGCTGTGGCTGTGGGAGGGACTGGGGCGCACAGGTAGCAGGTCGTAGTGGCTGGGGATGTGGCTGTTCCTGGGCAGGTCGTATGGGCTCTGAGGGTAACTGGGAACCACAATGCTGCCGGCTCCCTGTACAATACTGACGGTTGGTTCTGGGAGACAGAGAAGATTATTTAGTTGACAAATCAGTAAATAATCAGACTATTATTTTTGTTAACTGCTTTGTCATTTAAGTTATTTATAAATTAAACACTTGAGTATTTGCGTATTTTCTCAGTTTTATGTTATTGTAAATGGAATTAATCTTTTGTATTTACGATATATTATAGAATAAATGACTCAACTAATTAAAAAATATTTGAGATTTATTGAATATGAAATTAATCATAAATTTTATTTTACTTGTAAAATGAAGCAAAAAAATGCTTCATCTTTCCTTGTGATTTTTAAGGATCATACCAGTGCTGTTGCAAGTTTTAGTTCCTCAAATACAAACTATGTATACTTTTTATTACTGGAGATCATTTTTAAATGCATGCTGTAGAGTTTCATATTTTTAAAAATAGATATATATATCTTTTGGCTTCTAATTATTTTCTGTATGATATGCAAATCAATTAGCAGATCTTTGAAAAACTTGCTAGAGTTGTGTAAAATCATGTCTGCTTTAATTTATAATTCATGATTATAATTTAATGAAGTTACGTTATCAGATTGAGTTGAAGAGTCTGAACTGTGTTACCCCCTAATGTAAAAAGACAAAAACAACATGCACTTTGATGGATTCTACACTTCAGGCCACTTTTAGGAGTCTGCGAAATGATTCAAAACTTACAAAAATAAATGGAAGCCACTACCGTTCTATTTCGTATAGGCTTCGCCCTCTAAGGCTATCGCTATTGGGTTAGAGGCGAAGCAGGATGAGTCAAAGCCTCACTGGCCCATACGATACCATCAAGCACAAACCCACCTGCCCAGAGGCATATAATAAGCGCCCCGGTCCCCCGCAGTCCGCGGCATAGGTGTTGGCAGGCCGACCCACGCGTAGTAGGCGGGGAACCAGTTGGGGGGCCCCATAGAGCAGGATCAGTGCGAGCAGTGGCCCGTTACCCCCACCGTCTGGTGAGAGGCGGCACACTCACAATGACATCACTCAGCCAAAACACTCAGTAAGTCAGCAAGAAACGTGACACGAGAGACGTAGGTAGAAACGGACGAAAGCGCACGGGGGAGACCAGGAGGCCACTGACCAGATGTCCTCCACTGTCATCCCACCGTGCAACGCCACAGAGGAGCAGACGCCTCGTGGAGTGCGCCCTGATGCCGTCTGACATTTAGGCCTGTGAAATAGCGGCGATTGTCAGGAAGACGACCGGGCAGAGGAGGTAGGATGTAGCGTTGTCCTCAGACTCATGGGGGGGAGGAAAGAAGCCACAGTGAGTAATCACCCGCGAGCGAAAGGAGCTGGTTATGCTCTTAGGCATGAATGCAGGATTGGGGTGGATAAACAGCCAAGCTGCCGTCACCCTGAATCCTGAGACACGAAGGAGCCACAGAGAGGTCAGCCAGTTCACAGACCCTCTTGGCCGATGTCAGAGCCACAAGTAAGGCGACCTTGGCCGAATGACACTTCTGGTCTGCCATCTCTAAAGGCTCAAAAGGGACTTGGGTTGGCACGCGTAAGACCAGCGGCAAATCCCACAGTGGAGCAACGGGCCGTGTCACCGGCCTGTGCCTCTGCACCCCCCTCAGGAAACCGTCCTGTCACCAAAACCCTTTTGATAGGACATGGTGGCGGCAGCGTAGGTTTTAACCGTACTGAACGCCAGACCCCTGTCCATGAGCAGCTGGAGGAAAGAAAGCAAGGCTGCAAACTGTAGGCAGTCCGGAAGATGCTTGATCAGCCGAACCGGCGGAAAAGCATACGTCCGCCGGGCAGGCCACAGTGGGTGCGCGAAGGCTCAGTGGAAACCACAGGGCACACTGAGCGTTCTCCCAGTTGGCAAATAGATCTACCTCCGCCACGCCAAACCGGCGCCACTCGTCTGGGTGAGGGCTCCCCCTCGGTATAATGTCCGCCCCCCTGTTCAACATGCCAGGGATGTACTCCACTCTGATAGAGAGCAGATGAGTGCGCCCACAGGAGTAGCCGCCTGGCCAAGCCCAGCAGCTGCGCCAGCTAGATCCGACCCTAAAGACAGAGGAACAGTGATCAGACGCCGTCTCCGTCTCACCGGGTCGACACACAGACGGATGAACCACCACTTTAACCTCCTTATGTGCAGGAGGCCCAGGGGGACCTACCATGTGAGCCGTCGACATGAGGCCCAGACACCTCGTGATCGACAGAGCTGCCACCATCGCCCATGGGACAACACGGCGGAGCAGCTCCACCAGAGCCTCCACCCTCTCCTGAGAGAGAGGAGTCCAGCACCACATCCAATAAGGTGAGTCCCTGAGAGGGGAGAGGAGCGCTCTTCTTGGGGCGGCTGTGGCTCAGGAGGTAGAGCGGGTTGGCTGTTAATCGGAAGGTCGGCGGTTCGATCCCTGGCTCCCCCTGGTTGCGTGTCGAAGTGTCCTTGGGCAAGATACTGAACCCCGATTTGCCCCTGGCTGTTCCGCCAGTGTATGAATGTTAGTGTGAATGTTAGTTTCCGTTTGAGCACTTAGGCTCAGTGTATGAATGTGTGTGACTGGTGAATGCAGATGTAGTGTAAAAGCGCTTTGAGTGGTCGAAAAGACTAGAAAGGCGCTATACAAGTACAGAGCATTTACATTCTTCCAGTTCACCATGAAGCCTAGGCGAGACAACTAGCTGGGCTATCTGTACCACCGCCTCCTCCCGAAACTGCACCAGCAGCAGCGGGTCGATAAAACAGGACCCTGATGCCCAACCGCCCAGAGGCTCCAGGGCCGCCTCGACACGCTCGGAGGGCCAGGGAGTAACTGAAGGGCAGGCAGTTGTATTGGTACTGAGCGCCCCGGAAAGAGAACTGTAGGAACTTCCTGTGGAATGTGAAAGTACGCATCCTTTAGGAGGTGAGCCAGTCTCCCTGACGCACACACTCCAGCACCTGTTTTACTGTTAAACATGCGAAAAGGTCTCTCTATAATCGCTTTGTTGAACAGTGACACGCCCCCCGTTTTTTTCCTGACCAGGAGGAACCCTGGAGATGGCCTGCTTCTCCTGGAGCTCCGCCTGGAGGGTGGCGTTCTGACCCGGAGAGGGGAGCACAGTCTCTACAATCACGGTGAAGGGGGGAGGCGAACTTCAGCCTGTGACACCGGCGGATCAGGCTGTCTATCCATCTGTCCATCGAGCAGGAAGCGAGCCACTCCGAATAGTGCTCTGAAAGCGGTTGGACCTGCTGATGAGGCGCCCTACCGCCCTCACGGTTGGGGGGAGGAGCCTCGCCGTGACCCATGGGGGGCCTGCCTCGAAAGGGCGGGGACCCTGGCCGTGGGGGGGCCTTGCAGGTAGCAATCTCCGTGCTCGACCGAACATGAGAGCTTAGCTCCTGGCAGGGAGAGGGAGGGTCATGGGCGCCAGCATCCACTGCCATGCAGGAGGAAGCGCCTCCTGGGCATGTGCGAGTCAGTCTGACGGCAAGGCGCGGTCACCGGGGGAGGCGAGCCACCGGGGCCCTCCTCGCTCTGCCGCTTGGAGGGGTGCACAGGCCACATTTTGAGAGACCTTCACTCACAGTCAGAGGGGTCTGTATGGGTGGCCTCCCGTGTGTGGTGGGAGGGACCAAAGGCAGCGTAGACGCCTTTGTGGGTCGCAGCTGGTCCGTGTAGTGTGGTAAAAATGAGCAGAGCGGTGGCCACCGACACTGGCGGGCCGGGGAGGAGGGAGGGGTCTGCTTGTGACATCCATCCGGCCAGCTGCAGCCGGTCCGTGCAGTGTGGAGGAAATGTGTGAGAAGGCGGCTACTGACTCAGCAGAGACAGTGGCGGGTCAAAGAAAATGCTCTTTAGGGCTCTGTTTGTGTTTTATTTCAGTTTGATTTGTGAACAACAGTGCAAGCAGAACAAGAACATAAAGACTTATCTTGTGTACAGCTCTGTCCTGTACACATCCTGATAGTTATATTTCAGTTTTCAGAGGAGTCTCACAGCTGGCTGCTAAAGAAATGAGGGACCATGGAGCTGAGACCATGGAGCTGAGCTTAATGAAATGTATTAGGGATGCAAACTAGTCCTTTAGAGCCAATGAGGAGATGTTTCTTTTGGATTTTAATGTGCAAATTAAATGCTTAGTAATTATCCAGCGATCCTGTATAGAAAAAAATGAGGCATCAAAGTGCATCGATAATCATTTCATAATCGCATCGCAGCCCTCTGAATCATAATTGAATCGAATCATGAGGTGCCTAGAGATTCTCACCCCTATTAGTAATGTTTATTGTATCATTGTTTGTGCTTTGTTTTCCCATGTTCTCCTGTTGAGCTGTGAATAGTTCTAGTAAGGCTATAAATGCTATGATATGTAGCAGCGGTCAATGATAATAACTGTCCCTATAAAAAACAAAACTCAAATGAGTCGCCGTGGGGAGCCAAGATAGAGTCCGACACACATCTCCCCCCCGCCTTTAATGTACCCATGTCGTAGACGTTCTTGGTGGGTGCGGTGGTGGTGGTGGTGGTGATGATAGCGGTGGAGCAGCAGTGTGTCACGTGTTCATGGCGAGCCGGCGATTTCATCTCCACGTAGCTGCTCTCCGAGTGTTTACACAGACCGGGCGGGTCGTTGATGGTGGCGTATGGGTTTTCACTGTTGAGGGAGCAGGTGCTGGACAAGGAGCCCTTCATATAGTCTAAAAGATAAAGACCACATAGATTATTTAACCTTGTGTGTCGAGAAATAACGGTCTATAAATCATGTGGGAGTTCAAACTATTCACATGAAATTCCAGCATTCTTGTCTTTGAACTCAGCAGCAAAAGACCCAAGAGGCTTCTTGTCATTGAAGCTCTGATGGTGATGCATTTCCAAAGTTGTGGTTTATAAAAAAAAAAAGGCTCTCTGGCACATTGCTGCTGATCAGAAACCATAGAATTCCAATTTTCACATTTTAATATTTATTAAAGGATGATATTCTCTTCTGAAAAGACAAAACTGGATTTTTAAAAACCCTTTAAAAGTGCTTTCATAAAACATACTGATTATGCAAAATGAAAGAAGCTGCTTTTCCATTTCCTGATGACAGGTTATAAAACACTTTTTGATGTGCCATGTCTGAAACATTTCCTGCAAAGTGTGAATGAAACAGGCTGCCTGGTTAAACCACGAGTTACCATAGTGAACAACTGCATGTCCAATAATAGGGATTATTACCAGGACTATTCTTTGAGCACTCGGAAGTCATGTTTAAAATTTCCTGCTGGTATGACTCCAAAATACATAGCTGTAGTTTCTTCTTTTAGAGGATACGCCTGGTGTTATTCCATATTTTTCTAAATCTTCAAATCCCATGAACAGGAAACGTTCCCACTTAGCTACTCTGTCTGTGGCTCTCAGCTCAAAGCCCATTGGTTCCTACTGAAGACGCAAATCTTCAAAAACACCTCACAAACATTGAGTTACAAGTTCAGTAATTTCCTAAAACAGCCGCTCACAAATTTTAGCAAACGTTACTCTGACAAGGGGAAATAGTGCAGTTGTTGAGGACTATTTTCAGCGGCGGATGAATCCACATGTGGTGCTCTAGTGAGTATTTGGGGCAGCAGGACGGTGTGTGGGAGACTGAGTTACAATAAACTACAGTGTGCGTGTTGATGGTGATGAAGGAAGATGTCTCCCAGTGCAGCAGTGAGGCTCACTGATGTGTTTTTGGAAATTGCTACTGAATTAATCTCTGAATTAATTGTTGGTTTTGGTGTTTTCATGGGATTTGTTGTAACAAAGAAAATGTTTGTAATATCACCAGACGTATCCTTTAAGAAACATAGATGTTAAAGTAATCATTGCATCACTGGACGACAGAGGTTACGTTGCATGGTGAAAAAGTTCGGGTTAAAAAACGCAGACATTCTGTGAAGCCGCAGCTGAAGGAAATACACATCAAGCGACAGGAAAACACACAGCATTCAGTTATTGTGGAGGAGAGATTCCCCGGGTGAGTTTTGGGAGTGATGGGGGTAAAAGCAGGAGGAGCACCCCCGCAGAGAGGGAAAACACACAGAGGAGAGGAGTCAGGTTCATCCTGCAGAGAGACAAACACACCTGTAAGCACTGGTTGGTACATATCCACAAGATCAAATCACATTACAATCATCTTATCTCTACAAGGATACTGAGCATTCAGGTACAGGCTTGGGTCTGTGAGGTCTTTCATGCTTTTTAATAGAGGGCTCTGGTGTGGTCTGGTCTCATGAGCCTCCACCTCTCTCAGCTTTCTTGGATTCAACAAAGAAAATGCTATCACACAATAGAGATTCAACAGAAAGGGCATTATGGGTTTGTGTGCTACGATCAGGACGTGTTGTGATATCAGGTCTCAGGGAGGAAGCAGTGTTTGCATAAAAATCTAGGCATTTTTTTGAAAAATGTGACGACACACTGCATGAGCCTAGACTTAAAATATCTAATATCAAACATGTTTGGACAGCCAAGACGACAAATAGATTGAGACAGCTCCAATTACGTTTTTGATCAGCCTACATCAAAGGTGCGCACCGACTGAGGTAGCTCTCATAATTTTATTCCGACATTAGAAATTTGTCTACGACAGTAAAATTGCTTGAAATGTTGTTTGGTTTAAGGCCAAGATAACCTATTAAAATGCAATGGACTTTTGATTGGAGACCTGTCCAGGGTGGACCCCGCCTTTCGCCCGATGTCAGCTGGGATTGGCTCCAGCCCCCCGCGACCCTGTACGCAGGATAAGCGGTTGACGATTGACTATTCAAGTTTTGGAATAATGGGCCTTCTGAACAATGGCATGGCACCACACTACCTGTACACTGAGTATACACCTTTTAGACCTACAGCACACTTTCACAGTTAATCAGATTGGTGTCTGTCAAAGAGCTCCTGCTGCAGTATGTGTCAGAGCTGAACCTCCCTGCGTTACATGGGACATGCAGCGATCTTTCAACACAGGGAACTGCTACATGAAGCTGAGGTTCAAAATGCAAGAGAGGCAGTCATTGGCTGAAGGGAGCTGTTCGAGCAAGAGTATTGGCTGGGGTGACAGAGGTTGACGAGGTCACATAGGCTCAGTCCACCTCACACTGTACCTCTGTAGCGCGGCTCCAAGTGGTAGCTGTAACGCCGGTCAATGCAGTAAACACCTGCACAGAAACCAGACAGAAAAGTAAACTACATTTATGTTTAGTGCTGAGTCTCCATTTGGATACTCCGGTTAGTACATTTCCATTTGGTACACTGTGTACACTATGTACTTACTGGCTTAGAGCTAAATTTCGACAGGGTAGGATCGACCACAGCTGTTGTGCACTTACCAGAAATTACTATTGCAGCATTTGACCACTTCTTCTTTTAATGGCAAATTGTTCTCACAGTGCATTTGGACATAATTGTCAGTGTGAACAGACAGTGCTCAAAATAGCAAGTGTATGTACTGAAAAACATGACTTGAGACACAGCAAATGTTGTCAGAATATGGAGTGTGGAGATTAAAGGAGAACTGTTACAAGCAGTTTACCTTACGTTGACATGCATGCTTATTGACTTACTGTACATACTTGACATTTTCTCACTTTTTGCAAAGTTTTAAGGCTCTAAAAACCCATTCCAGGTATGTTTTCTCCCATTTGTGGGTGTGTCAAAGTTGTTACCATCAGCAGCAACATGTACATAAAGATTACCAATTTAAAAAGGCAGTAAACTGCAGTGCACTTGCGTACACAACAGGGTGTTCAAGGCACCACCGTTTATGTTGAAATCAACGTTGTGCTACGTTTTGTTGGGGCTAAACCCGGCCATGGTGTTGTGCTTGTTAAGAAACAAGCAACCAGTCAGGGCTAAGAATGGGGATGTCATCTTTCTACATAAATAGCAACAGGAAAAATCCACAGAAAGGCGAGGTTGTTGTAAGTTAACTTACAGAAATAACAACCCTTAAAATGGCAAATTTCTTTAATCTAACATATGAGTCACTCGCTACCAAATGGACAGAGTTAAACAAAGCAAAATAACCCTACATCCCAAACAGAAATCAGGTAAGTGAAACAAAATGGCGATTCAGTCTACCTAATCTTCTGTTCAAAGCTCAAAAATCTATCAGATCTAATCAAACTAGATAGCATTTTGAGCATAAAACAAAGAAGGGTTTTTTGCCACATATTTAGTTGTGCATAATGAGTGTTTCAGTGGCTTTAAATATTTTTTTACAACATTTTATGGAGAAAATATGATTAACGTTAACTGCTTGACTTGACTAATACTCATATTACATAATACTAATTCTTCTGATCACTCAGACAAATGTTACTTTTTATAACTTTTTTGTGGGAGAAACTTTCATTAAATATATTTTTATAGTCGATCATAATGCATGGAAAATGGTCATGTTATATTTAAGACCAATTGTCAGCTGATTGCTCTGTTGAGGCTGGTGTGTCAGGAATTTTGGCTTGTAGATTTGAAACTGCAGCGTCAGAATCCATAACATTCGTTCCCACACAACATCTGTAAGCGTAACGGGCAGAGAACGCATAGCCCAAACCAGGAGAGTGACTGACCCAGCTCGCTGAGGTTACAGTAGGCCCCCCACTCCGGTGCACTGTTCCTGTGTCGCTTCTTTGTCTTCATCTGGGAAATATACAAATAATTTTAACACATTAGAAAGACACACACAAAATTTTTAAAGCAATGACCAATGGCACTTTAATTCTCTGTAGATGAAACAGGATGTTGTAGCAGGAAATAAAGATTCCATCCAAATGTGTAAACCAATGCGATGTCAAATTTGAAGGAGAAAGGAAGTTTCATTTATTTTAAGGTGTTTTTATTAAAAACTTTGTTGTGAAATTGACAATGTGCTGGATCCCTCTGCCTGACTAGCTTTCTGTTCTGGCCCGGCACATAATGCAGTTTATAGTGATAACAGTGGCAGATTTTAATATTCAAATTCAATTTATTTATTTACTTTCAAACAATGGTTCCCTGGTTTCAGACAGAGTTGGACAAAAGCTGCTTCTCATTTCTAGCTAGTGACCGTTGCTGGCAGACTTTATCAGCTGTAGGTAGCTGGCTAATCACGATAATGTTAGCGCCGTGAGTTGGTTAAAAACGTGATCTCCGGCTGACTTTTTATTGTTTCCTTCTGACTTGTTTTAAAACTAAAAAACCCTGTAAAACAGTCTCAGTGGTTTCATCAATATCGATACCAATATCTGAATGTTGTAAAACTGTAGCAAGCTCCATCAGGAGCTAGTAACTTTAGCAAAACACATGTCTAAGAGGAACGGAGAAGTATTACGTATTTGTTGCATGGCCGTTCCCCGCCAGTTTCGAGGGGTTGACCACCCCCCTTGCAAAAAATTCTAGGGGAAACACTGATTCTCATTTTTTTTAATTTAAAACGTATCCTGTAACTCAACAAACTAAAGTTAGTTCATGCTGCACTTATCAGTGTTGGAAGTAGTGTCAGCTGTTAACATGCAGTTACTATTGCAGGTACTAAGCTAGATAGCCATAACATTAGAGCAGACAAACACATTGTTGACGCCATTCTTTACGTCTTTGCTTTTGTGCGTTTGATTGTTGAAAGGCTGAGTACCGGCCTTAATACAGCAGTGTGAAGAAGGCTTGACAGGCCTGTTGAGCCTGGTTGCAGTTGGTAAGCTCTGCTTGGACAATGAATTTTGTTATATTTTACAGTGAATTTAACTATTGATGAAATAAAACTTAACTCCTTTGGTTTTTCTATAATACAGTTAACATTACAAAGATTTCACGGGCACTATTTCTTCTGCAGAAAGTAGCTCCTATGAACACTTTTTAAACATAGAGGCCTGTGGATTATTCCCAGTACCAAGGACATTGTTTCTGCACAGAGATATAGCTGCTGTTTTTTAAGGCACTTGTTTAGTGCTGTGAGCACCATAAACAAAGTTCTATTCACCTCCCTTGTGGTAGCCTGGAGGCAGAAATCACGCAAACGAGGAGAAACAAAACCAAAACTAATTGCATGGCTGGATAAAACTGGTAACAAATGAGAAAATCTTTTGTAGAGAATATCTCTTAAATGTCTCTACATAAAGCAAGCTGCAGCTGATATCACATCTGCAACATTCAATCATTATATTGGTTTTATGTATGTCAGCATCCTGCAGCCCAAGATATGTTTTATTTTGAGCTTTCCTCAAGAAGTCAGAAAGTACTTACGCCCACCTTGGTGGTGCTCCTCTTGTCCGGCTTGGCGTAGTGCGCGGCGTAGGTGCAGGGCCCCAGGGTGCGGTAGCTGGGGTTGGAGAAGCAGCGGCCTACTGAGCTGTTACTGGGAGAGGACTCTGTAGAGGAGAGCAGGCCTGTGCACTGCAGCCCTGCTGTCACCACATGACATCAGCACGGGTTCTTTTATCGTCACCTTTACACATCACCATAATATACATGCATGTGCACACACAGCGCACCTGACAACCGGACACAAGGTATCCAAGCACTGACGGCAACACTGCCGTCCAAAGCTGCAGATTAATATGAAGGAACTCCAACAGAAATCAAAAGGGGGAACTTCAAACTCGTGGAACATTTATACATACATTTTCTTTACCTGTTAATTCCTGTTTATGGTCACAGAAGGTTAAAAGCTATACACACTCACTCACACTCTCGTACAGTGTAGATCAGCACTGAAATAATTAGTTGATTAATCGTTTAGTCAATTGACAGAAAATTTATTTACGAAAATCTTTGAAAATTGATTCATTGTTTGTCATTTATCAAGCAAACATTTCAAACATTTGCTGTTTCTAGTCACTAAAATGTGAGAATTGTTTTATATAATCAAAATTCAATATTTATTTATCCTGTTGGTAGACAAAACAAACAATTTAAAGACGCTCCCTTGCGCTCTGAGCATTTTATAGACTAAACGATTAATTGAAAAAATAATCATTCTTGAAAATAAGAAGTTGCAGTCCTAGCTTAAGTGGCCCCATCTGCCTGGATGTGTGAAATAAGAAAAGTACCTGGGGGAAAAAAAAAAAAGACGCAGAGATACGGACGTCTTACCTGAGAGGGAGTAGTCGGTGGAGTTCATGTGCAGGGCCGGCGTGTAGGTAACGCTCGGCACATGATGGCCTTTCTCTCTCTGCCGGAGTCGGAACCAGACCACCAGGCCGAGCATGGCCATGATGAGCAGCAACAGGAAGATGATGCCCAGGACGGCACCGGCTGATTGCCGCTCTGATGCCAGGGCCGGGCTGATCTTGGTGTAGGGGTTCAGTTCCTCCATCATCAGAGCCGCTGACGAAAACAGGCAAACAGGCATTTTACATTACGTGAAAGAAAACACATGCACTCCTATGACGACCGCACAGTTACCGTTCAAGCTTCCATCAGTACTCATATTTATCTTCTTTCTAAAATCCTCACATTTCACTTATTACTGCAGTTCCTTTCTTTCCTGTTGGCTCTCTATTTTGGTAGTTTGCCTTATAAAAATGGCCTAAATCAAAGGAGGCGGACAAAATATCATGAAATTTTAAAAGAGAAAGACTTCAACTACAACTCCACTGCAAACACAGCTGTAAAGGTGGTTCTTTATATATTTGTGAACTCAATTATATCATTTTGAGCACTTATTGTGTTATTTTGACCACCATTCCTTTCTGCTGATTAAAAACTTAATTTGTGTTTGGCCTAGACTTACTAATTCCAGTAGGAATGTAAACATTACACCTGCTAAACATCAGAATGATAGCGTTGTTATTTTGAGCATGTTTACATGCCTAAGTTAGAGTATTTAGTTAGTAACGTTTTGCCTCAGCCTCACAGAGCTGCTTGCATGGCTGTAGACTCCTAGTCTTGATCTTTTTGTTTGTAGAAAAACAGTCATTTTGAAAACAGCAGTATATATGCTGAATTCATTCTTTGTCCCTAGACACCACAGTGCCCTTTCGATATGACAACTAGAAGTCGCAAAAGTAAATGTTTAAACGTAGTGGCTTTAAATTATATCTGTTAATTAAAGCACTTGCACTGACACATGTGATTTTAAATCTTTTTGTAGCTTGGTTATCTGTCTCAAACTGCTGCTGAAAACATCATATTTCGCAGTGCTGATTGCCAAATTGGTTCTATAGCTGACAAATGATGCTGACTGACCAAGTGTTTGTAATGTAAACTTAAATCAAAGTTTCCGTGAGGTGTTGCATTATTTGCTTCTGTATACATGTGCTGACTAAAGTGAAGACATTTGTCATAGGAGAATCAGATTTTAAATGCACAAGTATATCAAAGCACACGCGCGCAATATTAACAACATGTTAGTGCTTATTAACAAAATGCAAAAACAAAAAGTTCAACAAGACAAAAAAGTTCTCACCAACAGACATGTTAGTCCATCAGGCCATTAGAGAACTCTTTGTACCTTTATCTTATAGAAACACTATCACACTCTTCTTTTAATCTCAACAAGATGTATGTGCTTGTTCCCCTGTCATCTTATTGTCTATGATTCATTTGAACCCACATGTAAACCAACGGGAAGAAGCAGCATCAAACACTCATCATCCAGCTACATTTTCCTCACAGAGCCATTAGTTCTCACCCTGGTCACAGCGGATGCCTTTGAAGCCGATGCTGCAGTAGCAGGTTCCCGTCACGTAGTCACAGGTGGCGTTGTTCATACACTCACACAGCTGCTGGCAGCCGTAGCCAAACGTCCCCGCAGGACACTCTGGATGCAGGAGCAGTGTACAGTTTAATATGTCTTTAAATCTTACAGACGGATACACAGATATTACAGTTGTCATGTGTAAAATTACAACACAAATAATAAATAAAGTGATGTTTTAACTTCAGTCAAAGTCGTATAGTCGCTCTGTGGGTTGACTCTTTTCTATGGCGTATCAGTCTCAGTATGAATGAATGCACACTGAAGGATTCACAAATGTATTTTAGGATTTATATATAGCCACGGCAGGACAGTCATAAAAAACCCACACACACAAATACAATGACTTTTACGGATGACAAGCAGTTTGTAAATGCATGATTAGCAGTTTGTATAGAAATGCAAATTTGTTGTATGATGAAAATTACAAATACCTGTTAATGCCTATATTTATAGACTTATTTTACATTTATTTTAAAGAAGAAGTTTTTATCAGTGGCCCTCTACCAAATGGCCAATCCAAAGAGGAGTTGAGAGATTCAGCAGATTGAACACGCGGCTCTCAACGGCATGTACTCTCCATTCAGTGCATTTCATTGAAAATTTTAACTTTCGCTGGGACCGCAGACATCTTTTTAAGGCAGATGGACTTCGCCTTAACAAGTCAGGAGTGAAATTGTTCAGCTCCAACCTGTTTTACTTTCTGCGTCACTCATCTGTTCCCTCTGCCAAGGACAAGAGACAAGAGGAATCAAAACAAGAAGAAGACATAACACAACACGACAGAAACCTTGAAGGAGAGTCACCGCAGCTCTGACCCTGGGAGACATCAGAGCCAAGAGGGAGAGTCTCCAGGCCCCTCACTAACAACCACCTGTGAGGATCCACCATCTTCAGCCCCCCAATCCCCATCCAGGTCACCCTCCAGACATCCTTTCTCCCTCCTCTCATAGGTGTCAAAACACTTTTTGAAAGCATAATCTGTTAAACAACTACATGCAGCTAAATAACCAATGAAAAAACCTTAAGAAAGGTTTATTTGCACATTAATAAAACATGCAATGCAATTAGAATATATATGAAACAAATGTGGATTGTCCAAAAAAAGGAAATTAAGCTTAAAAAACAAGCTACTGATTATAAAATGACCCCCAAAAAACGTGCAGCACCAATCAGTAACTTTAAAACCTTCTTGATGCAGTTTTCTTCTCTCTGTGAACATGACAAAAGAGGAGGGAAGACTAAATCATGCCTGCATGTGTGCTGACACAGCAGGGACGATATTACATGAGAAAAGTTGATCTACAGGAGAAACAGATTTGAAAGCAAAACAGAATGCCTGAGAGCTGCATTGACTTATGTAATATTATATTTATATATTTTGAAATGTCACATGCTACCTGAATTTTGTATTTCATTTTACATTAAAAAAAAAAACATTTCCACCAGAATGTGGTAAATTAAGTGTTTAATGATCAAAAATTATCAAAAACCCTACTCTCACGTATCATGATGTCTCGCGAGCTAAGTGCCTCTATACACCCCTAATCTGAGCCCCTATGTCCCTGCGTGCACACAAATGTACAAACAGAGGTAATCACAAAACGGCATATCACTGAAAACGCTAGTGAAAAACGTATTGAGGCTTTCTCTTCCACACCCGCCGTCTCACGGGTCTCAGCCAATGAGCTTGTAGATAATTTCAGTTGTAAAATTACAAATGTTATTGATGCCATTGCACCAGCCAAGGCGAAGGTGGTCTCTGGTAAGAGAAGATCTCCATGGAGAAATGCCACGCTGGTTAGAACTCAAAAAAGAGAGTGTCGAAAAACTGAACTCAGGTGGTGGAAAACAAATCTCCAGGTTCATTATGACATCTATAAAGAGAAACTTCGCATTTATAACTTATAACTGAGAAATCCAAGGCGGTCCCTCTTCATCTTCACCAAAAACACTAATAATGCATGCGCCCTGTTTGCTGCTGTCGACAGGCTAACCAACCCTCCTGTGTCTGTAGCCTCCGAACTTCTGTCCACCAGGGCCTGCAATAATTTTGCTTCCTTCTTCACAGACATAATTCAAACAATTAGACAAGCAATCAGTGCCTCAATGTCAGGATATATTGTATGTTGTCCCTGTGTCCACTTAAAAACAATTCATATAGCATGAGACAATTCAATCAACCATAAAAACCTGGGGGACATAATACAACATCTGAAATCCTCCTCATGCTGCCAACAGGTTTTTTCAAAAATGTGTCTAAATGCATGGCCTCAGATCTACTGTAAATTGTCATCATGTCAACCTCTCAGGTTTCTTCCAACACGCCCTGAAAATTGCAGTCATTAAGCCTCTCTTAAAAAAGAGCAATCTAGACACGTCACTAATGAGCAATTACAGGCCCATATCAAATCTCCCATTTTTAAGTAAAATCATTGAAAAAGCTGTTTTTCAACAGCTTAATGCTTTCTTGGCACTAAGTAACTGTTTTGATGTCTTCCAGTCAGGATTTTGGCTATCTAAAGAAGGGTTAGAGTCCCTTTAGCGTTAGAGTCCCTAAGAGTTAAAGGGTTAGAGTCCCCTTAGAGTTAGAGCCCCTAAGAGTTAAAGGGTTAGAGTCCCTTTAGAGTTAAAGGGTTAGAGTCCCCTTAGAGTTAGAGCCCCTAAGAGTTAAAGGGTTAGAGTCCCCTTAGTGTTAGAGTCACTTTAGAGTTAAAGGGTTAGAGTCCCCTTAGTGTTAGAGTCACTTTAGAGTTAAAGGGTTAGAGTCCCCTTAGAGTTAGAGCCCCTAAGAGTTAAAGGGTTAGAGTCCCTTTAGAGTTAAAGGGTTAGAGTCCCCTTAGAGTTAGAGCCCCTAAGAGTTAAAGGGTTAGAGTCCCCTTAGTGTTAGAGTCACTTTAGAGTTAAAGGGTTAGAGTCCCCTTAGTGTTAGAGTCACTTTAGAGTTAGAGTCCCTTTAGAGTTTGAGTCCCTTTAGCCCCTTTTCCACTGCATGGTACCAGCTCGACTTGCCTCGACTCTACTCTGTTTTTTTTGGTTTTCCATTGTGGAAAAGTTGTACCTGCACCCCAGCTACAAGGTACTTGTTTTCGTATCACCTCCGTCGAGGTTCCAAGCGAGCTGATACTAAAATGACGTGAAAACACAGCAGACTATTGATTGGTCAGAGAGAATCGTCACTATTCACTGCATCATCATTGTGCGCGCAGACAGAGGCCAGCAGCAGAAAGTTTCATATTTTACAATTTTCATACTTTGATTTATTAAATCCACTTCTGAGAAGTTTTGAGGTGATGAAATCAACGATGTAGATTTCTAATATTGCCAGTTTTTAAGTGATGGTGGAACAAAAATGTGCTTGAAAGTTTTCAAAGTTGAGGAGCTCCGCAAGTGGACTTAAATCAAGAGACAGCTGTGTGTGGGTCGCTGATGTGTGTATCGCATTGAACATTACGTCGCGGCAGTTGTGTGTGGTGTTGCTATGACGACCAGCTACACTGAGGGATACCATCTCTGGGTGCTATCTGCAACGGAAAACAGAGGATGGCCGAGACGAGTCGAGGCGAGTTGAGGCGAGTCGAGTCGAGTCGAGCTGGTCCTGGTAATGGAAAAAGGCATAAGTGTTAAAGGGTTAGAGTCCATAAGTGTGAAAAAAAAAGGATAGAGTGGGAGATGGGAAAAGTGAGCTGCCTGTTTTTGTTTTCTATTTAATTCTTCAAAAAAATAGATAAATTCCCTTGCTTTTTTGTTTTATGTAAAGCACTTTGAATTACCTTGTTGTTGTTGAAATGTGCTTTATACAAATAAATTGACCTTGCCTTTTTATCTGTGGATTTGTTTTACATTTACATTTTTGTGGATAATCATTTATATCCCCTTGCCGCGTGAAATTATTTAAAATATATATTATATTTACAATTATAAAGATAAATTAATTTTTTGTGCTTTTGCTTTCAAGCTGATTCTAAATTAAGTGGAGATTATTAATTTTTCTATAGCACATCGAATAGATATAAATTTAAGTATGATACAAATTAGTGACAACCGGCATAAACGGAAGAAAGTGCCTGCAAAAGGTTCCTAGGTACGTATTGAATATGCACAAACTGGCACAGGGGCAATACATTCGCTATCTCGGCTGCAGTCTGAATGGAAGCGGTATGATGTGAATTTGTGACAATATTACTTATATTTTTATTTTTAGTGTTTAGTATAGTAGATTCCAAGGGCGCGTGAAGCAGCACCTCCCAGTGATCAGGGAGGAACACTGTGTGCAAATAACGTGTGCAGACTACATAATGGACACTATTGTTATGACAACATAAAATACAGCAGGTTAGTGCTGAATGCAGGGGATGCTCTGGTTGATATTACAGCCTAATAATTGACGTCAGCAACTGTTTGCACTATTTTGTCACGAATATAGGAGCTATATTGGTGTGATGTGTGGATTGGCTCTGACAATATCTTAATAATCATGTACGCGTAAAACATCCACCGGCCCCCAACCCAACCAATTACTTTCTCAGATTTATCCCACCTCTACCGGCCCTTTCCAGGTGATTTCTTTATTGTGTTGATGTATGTATGTTTTCTTTAACGGTTTACGTTCATGAATCGAGAGGCTGCTGTCAGTCATTTTAAACGTTTCCAGTAATGTCACAGAAAATGCCGTGGCACATTTGTGCAGCAAAACGAAAAACTGGAGTTATAAACTTGACAGGACCGACAGAGGAAACTCTGCAGAGGAAACAGAATTCAACTTTTAGCTTATAAAAAATTTAGACGCACTAATGGAGCTCAGGGTTGATCAGAAGAACGCCTGTTTTACTCCAGACGGTTTCTCTGTATGAAGCTGGACTGTGTGTGAGACCTTTTGGATGTGGAGAAGAACACAAATTATTAATTAACGTTAGATTCACACCGATCCTGTCGGCATGTTGGGAGATTGAAATATGAAGTTATGCTGCTGTGTCCGGTGCGTAAATGCGCACATCGTCTCTCATAATAGGGAGACGTTTCACCCTATTTCACCCACCCGGAAATTCACAAAATGTATTGTCTAAAACTCTGCCCGCAAACAGCGGTGCGCTCAGTTATTGCACGCACAAGGTTTTCATGGGCCTCATGTGTTTCCCCAAGTGTGGACACTGAGTGTGGAACAGTTTTTCAAGTTGAAATGATGGGAGCGACGGTGTAATCAGCTGCGCCTTCATTTCATCAGTGGTTTTTATTCGAATGATTTTATTTATTGACTACCTCCATATAATTACGGAGGTCCGGACCTCAATGACCTCATAAGAGCACTCTGTGTTAAAGGAAAGTGTGTAAGCTCGTGCCCAAAACAGTCGTGGCATGCGCGCATTTCTACTGTGCGAAAGTAGATTCTCATTTTATATCCAGTATTCTAGTTTTATTAGGTTAATTCTCTTATTTATACTTAGCAGTGGACCAACGTCTTCTATCATGGTATACGTAATGTCAAATCATATCAAACATTTTCTGGAAAATCAGTTGGGAAATAGTCACTGGATAAAATCATCAGACAGGAAAATCTTGAATCATATCATGTCATATATATATATATATATCATATCGCCATATCTTTACTGTGCATCAGTTGTTGCTTCCTTTTGCTGTTGTGAAACATGAAGAATGATGCTTGAAATACATGAACAGACATGATAAAAAATATGATGACAGAATGCTCGACGTTGATGGGATTGTTCCTCAGCCCTCTCAAAGCCCAAAAATAAATGCATCAAGCACCTTTCATCCTGAAAATCTGACATTTTGTAGGTACTAGAGTCTTAATTTAACAACAACAACAATGACGTGCAGATTTACAGACATGGACACACTCACTGAGCTCACAGCTCTGTCCAATGAAGCCCGTCCTGCAGGAGCACTGTCCGCTGATGTGGTCACAGTCTGCCCCGTTCTGACAGCGACACACCTCAGCACACTGAGAGCCGTAGAAACCCGTAGGACAGCCTGAGGAGGAACACAACAGTATGGTCCTTACAAGTGCCACTTTTCAACATCAGCTGTTCCACTCTTACAAACTCAGTACCTGAGAGATAATCCACAAATCTAGAGATGTGCTTGGAAGCAGCTTTTCTTGGATTGGCTAATCTGTTCTGTCACAGCGGAACCAACATGGATCATCTCTGCAGATTGAACCAAACCCAGTTTGCATTTCATGCAGATTTAGGCAATTACTCAGAGTACATGAAGACAGCAGTCTTGGGCAAGTTACTCAGAAATTTTTAATATATTACTAGTTACTTATTACTCCTTAAAAAAGTAATATTATTAATTTACTTATTACTGGGTGATAAAAGAAACTAGTTACGTTACTCGTTACGTTACTATATTACTTTCCAGTGTTTCCTACAGAATGACGGTGGTCAGCGTTGATAATTATCCAAATTACAGGCTAATTATGGGAAACACTGCTTTCCCTACCCACCCCTTCACCCACAAACAAAGCGGTCGCTCCCGACTTTTTAACTGATATCATATTCATAACAGCAGCAAGGAGAGTGGTTTTTACAAAGCATATAGCCTAGAGCTAACGTTTCTAAACACCAGCGGCTGAAGTAAATCCTGACTTTTGAACAGCTGTTTTTCTGCACATGTAGCCTGTTTATAAGAGCAGTTTCCAATAGTTACAAAACGTTACGTTAACGCCACTTTCTCCCGTCGAGTCCAAGCGTCAGTGACAGCAGCTGCCGGAGTTTCTTTCTGTAAGTTTCACGTTGCTGTGCTGCTTCAGCAGATGCACACACTGCTCTGGAATGGATCTGGTGACGCAGCAACAGCACTAGTCCAACAAATCAAGTAACGTGATGTTCACACCCTGTTTACAGCTCTTGGTTTGTTCGTAAAAAGTCTGTGTGTAATTCGAACTCATCTACAGGTGTGACAGCAACCTAAAGAACCTCTAGCTGCCTCATGCCACCTGGCCATTAATGGATGATACAAAAATAAGACTTGGTGAGGTATGGTTTTATTTCCTGAAATTGAGATGCTACTTAATTATTGTCTAACAGTATTCGACTTGTGGCAACAAACTCAGTTTTTTGGCCATGAAGGAAAGGAGGGTGTAGAGAGGTATGGAAAGCATAAAGGAATGAATGTCTTCAGGCATGTAGTTTATTTTATCTGCCACCAGATGGAGGTGTAGGTATGAGATATTGAAAACAGGGGGCCTCTTCATGAAGTGAGTGATGTGTAATGTGCTCCCACAGCAGCCAGAGAGTGTATCACTGTTTCCCTTATTAGATCTGTGTGTGTGTGAGAGGCTTACGCTGAGTACAGTAGAGTCCCGTCCATCCAGGGCTGCAGTTACACTCTCCGTCTGTGGCGCTGCACTGGGCTCCGTTGTGACAGTTACATGTGTGGATGCAGTCTGGGCCCCACGAGCCCTGAGGACATGCTGCCAATAACACACACACAGAGTTAGAGAGAGAGAGAAAGATGAACAACTGCACATGCCCACACAAACACACATCTCTTCTCAAACGTCACCAACAAACGTCACCGGCCTGAGGGTTAGGGACGTGAGGGATCAGGGCGGTGTGTGCCTTCATTAGCTTCACAAGTGATTGAGTGATTGTGGTAGCTCTGTTCAATGTTAGATGCATAATTAACGTCAGAGCCAACAGAGTAATTGCCTTCAGGTTTGTTTGTTTTTTCCAGTTGTCTCTGACGGGTTCATGGTCAGCTCAAGCGCTAAGAGTCAATAAAAAAACGTTATGGTGGATGCGTGCTGAGGTGAGAAGTGAAAGTGTGAAAGAGAGGAGAGATTATTCGTTACGTCCTACGTTTGGAGCAGTCCTCGCCGATCCATCCTGGGTAGCACTGACAGGAGCCGTCGATGGGATTACAGGTGCCGTTGTTGGTGCACACACAGGCCTCAGCACAGGCTTTACCAAACTTTCCACTGGGACACACTGCCGGGACGCATGCACACACACAAACATGTTCAGCTATGTCATTACAAAAATATAAAATACAACTCTGTGTGATCATTTAAAAAACATTTTCTAAGTACGATAAAATTCTGTCAGCACAAAACTAAAATTACACAATGCATTTTCTATTATTTCTAAATAAATAAATAATAAATTAGACTTAAGTCTCTGCTGATGAACAGTGAATTTTGTTGATTTGTTAAAATTTAACACAAATCTCATGATTTAGAGGAATTGTTGAACACATGTTGTTCGCACACAGGTGTAAAGGTATAGTTTGAGCTTGGAATGAGGATGAAGAATGAAGAACTGGTGATGCAGTTGAACAATATAAGAGTCTGCAGCCATGCTAGCAACTCAGTGGGGCTGTACTTAGACACAGTGGTGCTTGGAGCTAAATGCTAACGCCAGCGTGGTACAAAACGTCAGCATGCTAAACATTTTTAGCATAATATTAGCAATTTTGCTGTTAGCATGCTAACACTTGCTAATTAGCGCCAAACAGAGCACAGCTGACAAACAAAAGTCTCGGACAAATTAAAATGTTGATCTGATGATGACGCAATGGGAAGTTGATCCATGGACCATGAATCAATTGATCCATGAAAATTTTAGCAATCCGTCCAATCGTTGTTGAGTCTTTTCACGTAAGACCTGCCGGTGACTCTGGGGATCACCAGAGTCAATAAGAAGACTCAACATCTGGGGACCATGAATTTCTGTACAAAATTTCATTGAAATCCACCAAGTACATATTTTAGTCTCGACCAAAGTGAAAGATGATATCCCTGGATCCATGCTGCTGAAGTCAGGCTTCTAGATGTCAAAGTTATGGCTTATGTTGATGACAGAGTGACAGAATGGATGATTTAAAGTATCGATTGCCAACTTTTGCATAAATGTAAACAAACAGACAAAACTTACTAGATATAAACCCTGGTCTGTCATGATTTAAAATACTGTACATGGGTACAGCTCAGAAAGCTTTGCAACCTTTATTTGAAGGCAGTTATTACACTAAAGGCAGAAAATTATTATTTCCTGATGTGTCAATGGGTTGAGTTTCAAGCCACAAGGCTCATTATATGAGTTGCGGTGGGAGAAAGCGTGTTTAAATAAACAGCTCAGGCAAACACTTGTCTTTTTGTGAATTTTAATTTTCTTAAAGTCTTCTGCAGAAGGAACTCACAGGGACACACACGCATCAGAGTATCATCCGAGTGAGCTGCAGTGTCTCAGCACAGGCAGCTTTTATCTTAGTCTCAGGGTCGGAGTACTATCTCATCAAAGGAACATGGTGTCTTTCAGTGTTCCCTAGAGGACACTCAATCTGGATCTATAGAAAGACTCCCATGTCCAAGGTACATGTGGTGAACCACTTAAGCATCACACACATTTACCTTCCATTGACCCCATACCCAAGAGGCTGGAGGCCCCTAGTCAGATTAGTTACATGGCAGTGTTTTAAAGATGGTTCTCATGAAATTCCCATTACAGAGTGAAGAAATGTTCAATGCTCATCAATTGTACATATACAATATAGCACGCGTTAATTAATTTACACATATTTTTTGTTGATTTATATTTCTTTTTAAAAGAAAAGGCCAATCAAAACTTTGATTAAAAACTTTAGGCTCCAGAAAATGTGCAATCATGTATAAATACACCATATTTCTACTGTTGCTTAACACCCCATCAATTAGCATCAGTAGAGCTGCACTAATTTGACTCAAGCAATCTTTATAAAGTATTCTATGAACACTAAAATAAAATAAAGGGCTCGAGCACAAACTGTGCGAGAAATTCAGTGAAACTGAAGGGATTTTTTTTTCTTCTTCTGCAAAGTAACCTCAGTTTTGGGGGCCTAAACATACTCGAAAACTCACCAAACTTTTCACATTATTCAGGCGGGGCAAAAAATGTCTTATTGCATGGGTTTTGCGCATGGACGTGGCAAAATGGCTCGCCCCGACAAAGTTTGACCTACGTGTACGAAATTTCTGTGGTATGGATCATGTCCAGACATACAAAAAAGCCTCTTGGAGCCATTTTGGCCATTTTGGATTTAATGGTAATTTTTGGCGATTTACACACTTAGTTGTACATACGTGAGTTTTCGTTGGCCTCCTCGCCATGAAACAGGAAGTTGAAGTATGTATAATATGAGTCCCGCCCTGAACACATCCACATACCAATATTCACTCAAAGTCATAGCGCCACCTGCTGGCATCGGTAAATGACACGATTTACGCTTTAATGTACTACTCCTAGCATGTTGGAGAAAATCAACTTCAAAACTGTCCCAGAAAACCCATAACACATTGATGATGCCATGTTGTAAAACTTGTGAGTTTGCAGTCAACGGCGTGGCGTCAAAGTTAAACTCTTCGCCATGACAGGAAATTGTTGTAACTTGACTGTACATTATAAATGTGTTTGACGAGAGTCCCGCCCTGAACACATGTACAAGCCAACATTTACCCATAGTCATAGAGCCACCTGCTGGCAACAGGAAGTGACCAGGGGTAGTAGTGGCCAAAAGGTTAGAGAAGCGAGCTTGTCAGGATAAAATCTGGAAAGTAAACGCAGCATAACCCCAACAGTGAAGCTGCTTTGTGGCCAGCAGACCTGCGGTCGTACTGGGCAGCTTCCAGGTGTGAATGTGTAACAGTGTGAATGTGATCAGGGCCTTCCTGCAAAAGAGCAGCTTCCTCTGAATAAAATAAGGTTAAAAAAACCAGCACGTTTTACCTACATGTACGAGTTTCTGTGGTACATGTATCATGTTCAGATGTACAAAAAGCCTCTAATGGAGCGATGCCGTAAACCCAACAGGCAGTTGGTTGGTCCATTAGTCTGACCGACTTCGGACTTTCCCTGTCTACTCTAAAGCCATAAAAGTTGTACAAACGGTGAGTTTTTGTGGAACAGCGTGCCCGTGGCGTGGCATCCAAAATCGCTGATTTGCCATGAAACAGGAAGTTGTTGACTGTACATGCTCAAACTTGACATGTTTCATAAGAGTCCCGGCCTGAACACATCTACATGCCAATATTCAGTTATAGTCATAGCACCAAGTGCTATGTAGCGCCACGAAGGGACACAGGAAGTGATGATTAACACCTTTGTGCAGCGTCCGAAGCGTGTGGCAAATTGACAGCTGCATCAGCAAAGCTCCACAATTGGAAAAGCAGGTCGCCTCAGACTTCGACGCCCTACATGAGCGAGGGCCCGCCCAACGCTTTAATTTTTATAATGTTTTTCTGGGATCACTGATGTTTACACCCCCAAAATGTACACTGACCAGTGCACAACCCAGAGATGGTCATTCCACAGAGCTGGAGGTTGTTCAGTGTGTCGCACAGAAAGAGCTTTTATGGTTATGAAGGTTTCCCTCTGAGATGTGACTCTGCTGAAGTTTCCTGATGGACAGATAGCTTTACTTAATGCTACAATAGCCACTAGCTGTTGCAAACAGTAGCTCCTGTTATCAGCTGGCTCTGAACCAGCGGTCCAAACCTTCTGTAGTAACGTTAGAGGTGTAAACACCAACACACCCCCGAGCACCAAGTTTCCAGTCCAGGCAGAATCATCAATAGGACAGCTAGCTGAACGGCTAACTGAGTAGCTAGCTGCAACAGCTGTTAGCAGTAAATAGTGGCAAAAGTAAATGATAACATACAAACTCCGTAAATCACGATAAGTGGAAGCAGAGCAGTCGGAGGACAGTAGAAAAGGATAACCAGACAATATTGTTACACACGGTAGCTCCACTTTTCTCTCTGATAGTGGCATATTTTTTGATATACTGCACGTTGCTGCAGCTCCTCTTTTCACCCTGTGTTGAAGGCTTCGTTTTAGCTATGGAGTGATACATCTTGTCTCTAAATGATCTTTGCTGGGAGTTGCACATGCACAGTTCCCAGTCAAGGACTACAAGCCAATCAGAAGCAGAGAAGGGCGGCTTAGCGAGAAGCTGGTAAACACGGCTTCGGTTCAGCTGTACATGTTCCCCTTACCAACTTAGTGTCAACTTCCAAACTTTATGTTCACTGACTGCCTGGAGGGTAGCTCGTGTTTGGAAGGGAGAGGAGAGCTGTACTGGACTACAAAGAAGCTGTTTTCAGTCAGTTCATAGAAGAGTTTTCTGTGGGAGATGGGAACTTTCGTTGGGCTGGACTTTGCACTTTTTCACTTTGCAAACCTATTACATGCACAAAAAAGGTATAAACTCAATAAAGGAAAAGGGAAAAAGCCAAAAAGCATAATACCACCTCTTTAAGGGGAAGGGTTACAAATTTTAAAAGATTTATTAAAAGTCTCTTTCTTTTCACATGTTTATTTACAGCATTATATGTTGATATTTATATCATAATAGGCTGTATACGTATTGGGAGTAAACCGGTAGTTCTATGTAAAATCAGATGTTGAGCTCCCCCCTTTAGCCAAAATGGTATGATCCTTGTTTCATGACGCCTCTGTGAAGATTCGACTGTGAGATTGAAAATTTGTATTCTACGGCACCTTAAGAAGAATAAAACAGGCACGTGCAGGTGAGATAAAATAAGTACAGTTAACTATTTCGCACCTCTATAGCGAGAGACAGGGACGTCGGAGGGGGACAGATGGGACAAAAGTTACAAAGAAAACTCCTGCATACTATAACTTGCAAAAAATATATGTATTGACAAAACATTTCGGTGCTAGACCTTCATCAGGCAAAATGTTAGATTTTTTGCAAGTCAGACAGTGTGCCAGAGTTTTCTTTGGGATTAAATAAGTAAAGGATGAATCAAGGAAAATTAAAATCTCTTTCCAGAAGTGCCGGACTCACGGTCAACAGGAAGAATTACTGACCTTCTCTTTCAATGTAACATTCAGTACAAAACTCGTGTTAATCACTTTTATTAGTATTATGCTTTTCTTTAATTTGATGAGAAGTTAGTTTTTCAATATGCAATGTGATTGCTTCTGGTTTGAAACACACCTGCTTGAAATTAGTCTGAAATGAATCATCACTGCTGAGTGTTTGTAATGTGATAAGCGTCTCTGCTCAGCCCGAGAAAACAGAACGAGGGAGACAGAAAAAAGTAGGAAAAACTGTGCTCATCCAGAGCTGGAGGAAGCTTTCTACAAAGTTCGTTTATTTTCCAGTTAATCATTTTAGGGAAATGTACAACCTGTTGCTTCCGGATGTAATATTTGTACTGTTTTTTTTAAATACAGATTTTACTAAATGTAGTTACACTGATAAAACATTGAGACACAGACACTGTAGTGTCTGACGAGCCTGATAATATATTAATGTGCTCTGAGGTTTTTTTATTATCATTTCCAATTCACATGAGAGGACATACTGCTACTGCTGCTTGTTATAAATCAACGTTGTGTTCGGTTTTAGCTGAAATTTGTTTATTAAGTTAAAAGTGTTCTTCACATACAGAGGCAGGACGCAAAGAGGCTGAGAAACCATCATATGACATTTGAAATAGCTCAAAGTTTTAAGGCTAGAAACATTATGAGATGGCATTTAACTTGACCTTCACTGCATGATAACAAACTTTAAATGGTTTAATGAGTGTTTGCAATGCATACGTAATGACAATGCAGTATGCAGTGTGTGCACATATATGGTCATCCTCATAAAACACTAAAGCCGTATTACAGTTTTATGAATGTAATGTAAATGTTTCGGCAGGTGTTGTTAAATACATTATATATACATGAGCTAGGTAGATATTGATTATTTTTATATTACTCTTCTCCCTTGATTTGCATTTTATTTTTCCATCTGTTACATAAAATATAGTAGCCATTAGCCAGCCGTGCGTATTGTTTCACTAAAAGAATAAAACCCAGAAGGGGATTCTTTTCTTTGAATATGAGTGCATTAAGGATCATTATGAATGCATTAATGAAGTCCCTCCACTTACGTAACAGTTACCAGTGTCTGACTAGTGTCTGTAAAGTTTGGATCAAAGTAATACACCGTGCGTACAGGACACATGAATAAAACCAGAAGAGTTTAGCAAAAATAATTAGCAGGAGAGGGACTGCTTAGAAGCTCCCTAATGATCTTCACTTATGAACTCTTATTAATTAATGTTTCAGCAGTGTGGCTCTCTGGTGATGTCATTCAGTCCAACACTTCGATCCAGAGTGAAATATCTCAACAACTATTGGAAATGTGTTGCAGACATTCATGTTCCCGACAGGATCAATCCTAATGATTTTCCAGAACTTTTCAGATAAAACCACAAACAGGTAAAAAATAGTTAAAAACATTAACAATTCAAGACACGATACCTGTAAAATCATCAGCGTCACCTTCGGCTTGATGCTGAAATAGCACTTCAGTATGCTAACACTAGTACAGTAAACATGCTAACCCACCAAATTGAACTGTTGATCTGTTTTCATTTAAAACCTGATGGTTTTAAGACTGTTTTATTTTTCTGCCCTGTGAAGCACTTTGTAACATCGATTTTGAAAAGTTCTCTATAAATAAAGATTATTATTATTTTCATTATTTTGCACGTTAGCATTTAGCAATTGATGTATTCTGATACAAAGGCGTTCCTGATGTGCAGTGATTACGTGTTTTGTTATGATCTTAATGTTTTTGAAGGTGAATTTCATTTTGTGTTTAATTCATTTCCAGCTGCAGCCACCTAATGAGTCTGCAACGTGAAAAAAAAAATCAGTTAAAGAGCTCTGATTTGTTTTGCTTGTCTGAAGCAGAAAAGGTGAGAAGGATACGCAAGTAGAGAAACGTACAGAGAAAACACAAGAGGGGTCTTTTTTTTTTAAAGCTTACATGATGCATAGATAACAGCATAGCATTTGTCTACTACAACAACAGAAAGATACCGACATGCACTTTGTGTTGAAAATTAGCGGGGACATAAGGGCTCAGATTAGGGGTGTGACGATATACTTAGCTCCCGAGTTGTGGCGACGTCACAAGAACGAGATGTGATGATAATTTAACAGTATTTAATAGAAATCGGCAAAGCTGAAATATATGAGTTGGGGGGTCTGGAGGTCCTCCTCCAGGAAGTTTTGAGCATTAAACACTTAATTACCTACATTCTGGAGACATTTTTCTCTTCTGCCTTTCCAACATCAATTTATGATGAAAATGTTTTTATTTATGTAAAAGGAAACATAAAAACGTATTCTATGTTGTCACCTTTTGCCGAAAGGTGAGGAGTTTGCCTGTGATAGTGTACACATGTGAGCTTGTTACGGCAGAAAATTGTGTCCTCTTACACTTAATCTTTTATGCATGTTCTTTTACTATTATTACTATTATTGTTATGTCTTATGGATATATATGTATTGTGTTTTTTATCTTTAATGTTTCCTTCTTTTTACTCCTTATGTTTGTCTGTCCACATTTACAAGGGTTTAGGTCAGAGTTGTGAGATTGTTTTGGTGTTTTTCTTTCTTGTTGTTCCTCTCCTCGGCTTGAATGTGCATTCAAGGCTGAGAGAGGAACTCTGTTCCCCAAAACATAGAAACCCAGACTGTGTAAATGATAATGCATCCCTTAGCTTGGGGCCAGACGTTAGTGACTGTCCCAGAGACAGAACCTCTGGATCAGCTGATTTGTGTTGTAGTACTTCTGTTTATTCAATTTTTTTCTTAATAAATTCTTAAAAGTCAACCTTTTTTTGTAACTCAGTTATTTGCGCAACTAACCAGGAATATCATCATTTTCCACGACAGCTTTTAAATCAGGGGATTTGTTTTTGTTCTGTTTAGGTTTCTACTGTAGGTAAGTAGCTAAGAGGACATTTCTTGGACAGTTTCCACTTGAAAAAGAACATTGATTTCTTCATTAAAGCAGTGAAATCCTTTTTTGTCTCAGTTAATAGTTAACTCTTACACACACACACACACACACACGATGCGTCTTTTCTTCTGAGATGCAACAGACCCTTTGAGGGTTTACCAGTCAATAACATCATTAGCTTGTACAAAAGGGTATCAAACATTGAGAGAACAGGGATGGAGAGGGACTGGCTCTTCAGGCGGTTAAAAGCCCCCTTGCTGGACATCTGATTTATCAAGGCTTGCTCACTTATCTATGGGCCTGCTCAAAGATGCAGCGGCCAGCAGAATGGCTAATGTAGGACAGGGCATAACTAAGGCCGTCTTCATGTTTAATGATGATGAATATTTCACAGCACACTCCTCCACTGTCTCTATTTAAAATTCGACTTGGCAACGAACCGTGGGCCAGCTGCCTTCATAGGAGAATTAACACCTGTTTAACCTGCAGAGGAGCTAAACCATACTGAAATAATGATGTACAGGAGGAACCGACAAAAAGATTATTCAGATAAAATGAAGAGGTGGGAGAAGTTGTAAAAAAGGGATGCAGGATAAGCTTAATTTTTTTTCTTTTTCATTACCTACATTTTCTAATGAAATGTAGACTTTCAAAGGCTTTACTTTGAATGCGTGGCTTCACTTTCTTTAAGTTAGACGCCACGGTTTTACCAAAAAAAGGTTGTGTAAATGAAGATATCAAGAGAGGCTGACAGCAGAGGTTAAACTGTATATGAGGTGTGTTTCGAACTGTTTCTAGATAATCTAACTTTGAGTGGCTGGGAAAAGTGTGAGACGGTGTATTAAATGAGATGTGAATAAGATCAATCCTGCGCCAACTTTCAATTGATCAACTATAAAATAAAGTGATATTGGTCTCTGTCTGGATGCTCAAACAGTAATCTTGCAGGCTCATTGTCACACTGTGTGAGATGGGTCTAAAAATATGTCTCTCTGTCCAGTATCACTTTTGAGGCATGTTAGATTGTGCCATGTACGTCTGGGGAAACAAAAAATAGAAGAACACCTGCGTCATCCACCTGCATTGCTGTCAAGCTTTAGCCGCAGCTCGGACACGGTTATTTAAAACTTAAAACTGGTTCTTACAACATCACGTCAGTCAAACTAAGCAATTTCTTGTCGTATTTACATTGTTTGGTTTGTAAATTTGTTTTGTGTTTATTTACAGTGCAAGACAAGTGATTAACAAGAAGACGCATATGAGACATGACAAGGAGAGAAACAAACAACATCATAAAGGGATGGAAATACAGAAATGCTTAAGCAACACACAGGAGTTACCTGAATAAAATTAAACACACTACACACAGGTGCAGGTGTACTGTGCATGTCTGTATAGGAGTCATGTGTGTAAGGATACAAGGGGAAGAGAGAGCCTGTCAGATTTTTGATGCAGGCCGTCTTTAGTTGCCACATCTCTAAATTGGCAGTCGGCGGACGTCTCACAGTGCGATGCGCGCACAGCATTGACAGTTTAAAAACACAGCCCTGTTGCAAAGGGTATGTTGGCTGTGCTGTAAGCTGCAGCGAGGAGTATGTTGTGTGAAAGTCTGCCTGAGCTAGCTTACAGACTTCACTCCGCTTTACGTCCTGTGGATTTATAAGCCCTGAAATCACTGAAAACTTTGCTGTCTAAAAGGAGGCTTTGTTTGGTTTGTTGTGATCACAGCAGTGTAAAGTTGAAGACACTAGATTTACACATAAATATCAGTTTACTGCTACTCAGCAGGATTTAGTGTCTTTGGAGCTCGACCCAACACATTAAACATCTGTGATGTGGAAGGTATTTTTATGCAGCTGTATTTTAAACAACCACAAAACACTTTCAGTTTCATTTCTATTCTCTTGGATCAGTGCACATTTTCATTTACAATATTTAAGAAACTTCCAGACTAAATCTTAAAGGCTTTTGCATTGGTGAACAGTGCAACACTTTGTTTCCTACTGCAACGATAAAAATAAAACCAACAGTTTTAAAGGAGGCACACAAACAAAGGGAAAGCAGCTGGAACTGAAGAAAACGTAGACTGACCTTGATTACAGAGGGAGCCGAAGAAGCCAGAGAGACATTCACAATGGCCGGTGATGTGGTGACACGCCCCATCACTGTGGATACACTGAGGACACGACTGGCTGCAACGATGGCCGTAGAAACCAGGCGAACATGCTGCAGAGGACACACACACAAACACACTTTGTGAGGACCAAAATGCCGGACCACATAAGTTAAAAGTTTGAGGTTTAAAGTAGTCATATTATGCTCATTTTCAGGTTCAAAATCTTATTTAGGGGTTGTACCAGAACAGGTTTACATGGTTTAATTTTCAAAAAACCCCATATTTTTGTCATACTGCACATTGCTGCAGCTCCTCGTTTCATCCTGTGTTGAAGGCTTCGTTATAGCTGTGGAGTGATACATCTTGTCTCTACATGATCTTTGTTGGGAGTTGCACATGCACAGTTGCTAGTTAAGGGCTACTAGCCAATCAGAAGCAGAGTAGGGCGGGTTGTGAGAAGCCGGTAAACAGCTCGGGTTCAGCTGTACGTGTTGCCGACCAGCTTGGCAACATGGACTGGAGCGAGAGTTTCAGAGCGGTGAGTTATTAATCTGTATCCATAAAGTTTTAACTGAGCTCTGTCTCTACATCACAGGAACAACTTTATGTCCACTGCCTGCCTGGAGGGTAGCTAGTGTTTGGAAGGGAGAGGAGAGCTGTGTGCTGCAGCTCGCTGTTTTCCACCGGTGTGAGAGCGTGTCAGACTAGCCGCTTGGCGAGCGTTATGACGCGCACTTTGCTGTGTCGTCACAGGGATGAAAGGGAAGCGGCTGGACTACAAAAGAGCTGTTTTCAGTGGGAGATGGGAACTCCCTTTGGGCTGGACTTTGGGCTTTTTCACTTTGCAAACCTGTTACATGCACAAAAAAGATATATAAACTCAATAAGGGAGAGGGGAAAAGCCAAACAAGCATAATATGACCTCTTTAAGACTTGATTTTAGCGGTAGAGTTAGAATTGGGTTAAGGTTAGGGGTTAGGAACTAGGGAATGCATTATTTCAATGATGGGTCCCTATAAAGATAGTGACACAAGGGGGTGTGTGTGTGTGTGATAGAGAGAAAAGTCTGAGGGAAACTTCTGATTAGTTTACTGATTAGTTCTTTGATCATTCTAATAATGGATTTCATGGTCCGCTTGGACCTTATTTAAGCTACGTTTTTAAACTTCCACATTTATGAAAGCTTAATATCAGCTGTGTCCACCATACCTATATATCTGTGTGTGTGCATGCATGCAACAGTGCGTCTATAAATGTGTCTCCCTGAACACTGTCTCCTCTCTGGGGTCAACCCGCTGGCTGTATTAGCTTTGCTTTCTGTTTTCCTTCCACCACAGATCCTCCCTCATACGTCTTCCTACGGCCCTTAATTTGCTTTAATTGATGTTACTCTAAGTGGTGAGACAAGCCGTCGCGGGCTCGTCTACCGCTTCTTTCAAGCTACAGGATTTTCCTAATTAAGATAATTGCCTTAACTGTGAACCGAGAGCCCTTATATTTATCACCGTGATGCAGGGAGAAGCAGAGGAAAGCTGGTGTGTGTTATATACACACATATCAACAGAAAGCTGTCAGACAGACACACTCCTTGTATTCAGACTGCGAGAAACATCAACAAGTCGCCTCTGACTTTATTTCAAGTATGCTGTACAATACATGATATACAGTTCCCAGTAAGGAATTTAACTAAATATAGGAGATAATGTGAGGATAACCAGTGGAACCTGACTGACTGATAAATAATTGTACAAATTATCAAATTATTATTATTTTGATTGTTTGATATTTTAGTAATTGTTTTGTTTTTACATTTGATACGAACTTCTTTTTAAATTTATTATTATTATTATTTTTAATCAATTAATTACTTTTATTTTTTTGTCTATTAATATACACACACATGTTACTGTTTTATTTATTTATTTATTTTATTAGAAGTTTTAATATATATTTCTTTTAACACACACACACAAAAGCTTACTGTTTTATTTATTTATTTTATTTAAATCTTTAATATATTTAAATTTTTCTAACACACACACAGACACACACACGATTTAATTACTTTATGCTTTAATTACTTGTTTAATGAAATGTATGGGGTTGATTGTTCTTATGTAGTTTGTATGATGCTTTGGCAATATTGTTGTTACACATTCATGCCAATAAAGCTAATTTGAATTGAATTAATGTCAAAAACACTAAACTTAAAGAAGGTGTGCATTAGGGATGGGTATCGCTACTCGATACCTTTATGGTATCGACCGAAACAGCCCAGTATCAAGTAGAATCGAAACTTCTCCAGTCAAACCGGCACTTCAATCGATACTTTTTGTAACCACATTGCGGCAAAAAATTACTATTTGTATTGTTTGCTTGCAGCCAAACATTCAAGCAACACACCGAAAGAAAGAGAAGCTGTGCCTGCACCATTAACTGTATGAAAAAAGGCAGAGTTCACGTGTGATTTTAATGGCCGCTCACCTTCGGCTGCGGTCTCATGCATGTTCGTCACTGTTGCAGGTTTCTCACCACAAGCATGGCTTTCCGTTGGTTTCATCTTCTGGTATCATTTAACACGTCTCTGTACATTTTTATTTGCTGGTCACATCACATGTCACTGATTGGTCGATGCGTTCCATCACATCAATTAAAGGCTTTTGTGGCGCAGCAGCGATCAGCTGATTTTACTCACAGAGCCTCCGGCTGCGGCTGCTTCAGGTGTAGCTGGTTTGATCAGCTGGACGTGCAGCCTCTCTTTACTCTGTTTGTATCTTTAGTGTAGTTTAGTGACTTGTTTAAACAGACTCCCTTCTCGTTTTATACTTGTATAAAATATAATACATAATTTTTAATTTATTACTACTTTTGTCAGTTTCAAGTTATTTCAGGGATGTCGGGTTTTCTTTCTTTAACGGAAGGGTACCAACAATTTTGTCCAAGTCTATATGTATTAAAAACTGTACGTAATGTTTTATTTTATATGTTACCATATTTTAATATACACTTATTTATATGTTAAGTTCTGTGTGTGTAGCATGAAGGCACTACAAACTTTGTATTGTATAATGATAAACAATCTTGTCCCTTGAAAGACTATCATATGTAATTATTAAAAAAAGAGCACTAGGATTTGCTCATTTTATCGAATCACACACAAGCGTTCAGTCATAAACCTTCCTCAGACCAAATTTCATGCTGGTTTGTGGGCAAAAGCTTAAATGAAATTGTATGTGTGGAAGCTTGTATCTAAAAAAAAAATATATACACATCTAACAAACTCTGAACATCCCTGTTCGCACATTACATTGCAGTAAATTCCATTTAGACATTATGAAAAGTGTTGAAGATCCTTTCTCAACCTGTAAAGAAGCATGTAATCCTGCAACTGATCTGAAAGCAGGGAAACCATTACTTCATATTATTGATGCATGAACACGTTACTGGTACAACAGTCTGACAGGTACCATTTTTCACAAACAGCACTTTTATGCCCAAACACATTTGAATGCTAATACTTTTAGAGATCAGATCATATAATTCAATTCACTTTCAATTGTGCTGTTGCAAATTTTAGTTTATCTCTCCCCACCTCACCACAGCCAGGGTAGTGTAAGTGCAGGATGTGTGAGATGAAATGTGCGTGCGTCAAATGTTTCATTACTTCTTCTGCAGTTAGTGCCGCGGTAGCCGGGAGCGCACACACAGGTGCCGTCCTCTGGGGAGCAGGAGCCTCCGTTCTCACAGGTGCAGCTGTAGGAGCAGTTGGGTCCCCAGCGTCCCTCCTCACACACACTATCACAATGGACACCTGCATATAACACACACACACACACACACACACACACACCTATTTAGTCTACATTAAAGCAAGAGGCTTTGTTCTTAGCAACCCAGCTTTTAAGTGAAGTCAAACTGACTCAGAAAGTTTCAGATATGTCACTTAAACCTGAAAAAGGAGAAGAGAGAATGATGCAAAAAAGAGAGTGGGGGGGGGGGGGGCATTAGGAAAAGGCATCTTTAGCACCTACTCAGACACTGAGTAAGCAGGGGAGGACTGAGTGTGAAGGAGAGGAGGGACGTGACAGATGAAAGACACAAAGAGACAATCCCTCTATGCTCATCTCTCTGTTAAAGGATACGGCTGTAGATTTCTTATTGTCAACAAATCCTGTGAAAAGGCTCAAACCAACAGTGAATTTATCTCCTAACAAGTTCTGTGTGTGTATCACATCCTGATATATCTTCTTCCTCTGAGCCATTGAGCTCCATTGTTGTCCAGAAACTATTAAAACCCATCAGGGAGCCTCGCTGCTGCACTGGATAACATCAGCCTTCAGGTTTGGGGAGTAATGGATTAGATGTAAAGGCTTTATGTATTTAGGATACATAAAAACAGTAACTGTATTACGTTACAGCATGGGTGTCGTTAGGCCTATTTTAGGGGGCTGAAGCCACCCTAACATGGTCCTAAGCTCCCCCCTAATAATAATTAAAAAATTGTTAAATTTAGATTTTTATTTTTATTTTTACAGTGCAGTCATGTACTCACAAAAGAGAAGCAAGTACATTGATAAATACTATAGAATAATACAAATATAATTTGTATTTATTGGCTTAAAATAATCATTCTGATTGTTTCCTCTGCTTCATAATTTAAATCCCTGCAGAGATCGGGCACTAGGACCCAGAGGGAGTCTGCTTTTCATCGCTGCTCTACTGCGCTCAGACACGGCAAAGGAAGACAGGAAATCAACATGTGAAAATTTTAAAATAAACAAAAGAATGTATAAGTCATTAGCAGCATATTTATTAATATGGGAGCGAGAAAGAGAGAAAGCGAGAATTAGTGTTTGGTGTACTAAAGGCAAGCTGAATGAAATTAGATCGCTATCTAACAAATCTTTAAAAAAGTAGGAAATAATTAACATTCAAAATAATGCACAAGCTAAATTTTGTGTACGACATCACCGTCTCTCTCAAACACAGTATCTGCTGTTATACAGACACCGGTACGGTAGGTGGCGGAATATGCTTTTTAAAAGACGGTATTGCAATCCCGCCAAAAACAGATGAAGAAGATGACTCAAAACATTTTAGAATGCTTTTCCAAATCACAAACTCTTAAATAACATCAAGAATTACCTACAAAACAAAGGTTTTTTTTGTCACTGATTGGCCAGATCCTGCCATGGTGGTGCAAAGCAAATCATGTGCAGACAACGCATCATTGATACTCTCTTGTCTTCATTTGCCTATTACATTAGTTTTATTTTGTGGTACTTGGATTACGTTACTGATTACATTTTTTATTATTTAGTAATTTGTAATTGTACCGGATTACATTTTTAAAGTAATCCTAAAACTATGTATTTGTGAGCTGTTTTTAAAGTTTCACTAGGAACCGGTGGGCTTGGAGCCGAGAGCCACAGACAGAAAGTAAGAATGTGTTGGGAGACGAAATAACACACTGTTAAATTTGGGCTTTTCATGGGATTTGTTTACAAAAAGAAAAATACAGAATATTGCCATCCTTATCCTTTAAGCACGCAGATCAAAATGGCTCCAAGAAAGAACAGAAGGCACTGACAGGAAGTAATAAATGTCAGTTACTGTAGAGCCGTAACTAATGATCATTTTCGTTTTCATCTTGTGATTAACTGAGTAATTGTTCATTTAAACGTCAGAAAAAAAGGACAAATGTCCATGTGCTTAGGTATTCGTGGTCTTGCCACACACTATTAGCCATGCTGGTCTGAGTATACACACCAATCAATCACTGACATTCAAAAAATATGCAAAGTAGCTAATACCGTATCAGTTTTCTCATCGACAGTGTGGGCCTCTAAACTGCGTTTGCACATGTACGAATAAATGTTAGTTTGCATGAACAAACATTTTAGGCAAAAAACCTAAATTTCCCAAATTCTGCCCGAGACTTTTTACCCTTTAATCATTCGCTGTAGTGTCTCCTTCTTTCATCAGTCTTGCATGTATGTGTAAGTGTCTGTGTGTGTCCTAAGAGGCAGGAGTCTGTCTACACAAAAGCTGGCATGCAGAATGGATCAGAGCCCTCACTGCTCACAGGGGACAGTCTACAGACTGCAGTGCCCAAGAGACTAACATTAAATTAATTCTTAGTTACACACACACATCACAGGAATAAGCTTACTACCACATCTAAATATAGAAACAGACAGAAAGCGAAACAGACAGAGTAAGAATAGTGTATGTGCAAATACAGTACATTTCCCTCCTCATGTCTGGCTTGTCTGCAGCTCATTAGAAACTTTCTTTGACATAGAATATGAGAGAATATGAGAGTGGGGCACAGGCAGCCATTATAACTCAATTAATAAACTACCTCTGAGCCACAAAGCGGGTGAAAATCAGAAACTCTATTCGTTCGGCTGTGAAGTTAAAACAAAGGGAGGAAAAAGAGAGGTGGAGGATGAGAAGGTGGGGGCAGGATATTATGGAGCGCAACTAGTATTCATTTCCCAAGTGGCAGCAGCACTGAAATAAAATTTAAAAATCTGATTTGACTCAAGGAACATCAAGCTTCTGATCCTGCGTAGTCTTAAACAAATGAAGGAAAACACCGAAAAGTAACTGTGGTTTCCTCCTTTTTTTTTTTGCAGTGCTGCAAATATATTCATCGTTTCTTTCCTGGATTATTCCTTTTCATAAACATGTGCTGTGTCCCAATTCCATACTACATACTAATTCTTTCTTGGTTTTAAATATTTACTGTGCCAAAAATTCAGTATACTCAAAGATATCCGTATGCAGACTGATTTTGCTTGGACTTTGAGTGTGGAGTTTGGGGACACGATCACCACGATGCAGTTCTCAAAAGAAAAGAAGGAGGTACTCCCCACTGGCTAAACAAAGTGTTGACAGTGGTGATCCAGAAACATTTTGCTTTCCCTTTGTTCATTTTACACTTGTGAAATTGGTAGAGGCTTTCTATGTGGCTGTTTGATCGTTCACTGGTGCACATCTATTTCCTGTTTTTTCATACTAACATTATTGCCACCTTTTGGGATGGCTATGTCCGACACTTTCTGTAACTTCATGCTTCATGCCACTTCATGCCGTGATTGGCCGGCTGTGTGGAGGTGAGAAAGGAGCCAGGGTCTGTATTTCTCTCTTGGCTCTCTTCTTTTTCACTTTTCATGTGAACAACTCAGTGCAACACTATGAATGTCTTCCAAGAGAGGCTGTCAAGTTTATTTTACAGTTATCTCCGTATTTAAATTAGATTGCACGTCCTCTTTCGTTATGATGGCCGGCTATTTTTCCCACCTTCAAGTGCAGCCGTTTTTGATTTGCGAGGTGGTCAGAGAACACATCGTATGAACTAGTTCTGTTTGACCATTATGGTGGCAGAACAATGGCGTTTAAGGTTAACAAGAATTGGATATGGTATGATAGTTGGCCACCCACTGATTTTAATGTAACTTACTCACCAAGCACAAACTCCAACTCTGCTGCAGATTGTTTTCTTGCAGTCACACAGTCAACCACTAGGGGAAATTGGCAGCTTGTTAGACTGTACCTATCTGCATAAAACCAAGAGTTTTCTCACCCTTCATTTGATGGTCAGTCTTTTTAGATGAACCCCAGTTTTACTTTGATACACCAACCTAAGTGTTCAGACTGAAATTAGCACATAGCCCCCTCATTCTTGTCTAAAATTTACCTCAACAGCAGATGAATATCTGAAAGGATTACTCCAACAGAAAGTCAAAAATTCAAATCTGAATTAAAAGCAGTTTAATGTAGTTTTGTTCACCCACTGGGAACATAATGGATCACAGGAAAAGTCTATTATCTCACAGGACTAATTATCATCACCTTAACTGTAGTTACACAAACCTTCAGACAAACAAAAACATGTGTTTTCATGTCTTCTAAACTTTGATCTAAATATTCAATCAATATATTGAAGTTCATCTCAATGTCATTTCATTACCAGTTTTCCCTCTGGCAGTAAATTAAAATGCCCTCTACATATTTATCAGATCGATCATCGCTCATCATGACTCTACTGATTGAAATAGGCGGGTTAAAGAAGCAGAGCTCCAACTTAAATATGACATTTATTAAAGTAAAAACAGTTTCAAAGAAAGAGGTGGAATGTCACTGCTGTGGTAAAATAAAAAAAACACACGGGACACAAGAATCTGAGCGCAAAGCCAGGTCTCACTTGAAAGGTGCTTTATATCTTTGGATACCTCTTGTGAAGCTGGATTATTGAACAGAGCTGCGCTGTCAAACTCATCCAAGCTTGAATCTCCACCAGTTTTAGAATTGTAAGTTTGATTTTTTTTTGTGTGTGTCTTATTGATTTGTTGTCTCCATTCTTGTCATGGTGTCAGAGGCACCGCCTGCTTCTTCCTTCTGTTCAGCCTCAGACTCTTTTCCCTTCTTCCCCTGAGTGTGTCTGTGCTGGTGTTTCCCATGCCTGCTTCACTTGTCCTCTAAGCCCTCAATTCAGGGGCTGGATGTGGCTCATTAAGGTGTGTCCTCTGAAGGATGTACAGAACAGACTAAAGAGCAATTTATACCAGCGAATCTGTGTGTATTTGACGTTTGTTTATGTTTTTTAACAGAAAGCAAACTTTTTGTTCAAGGCTATATGTATGGCATTATTATTAACATCAGTTACAATCATTCAAACTTGATGTCATGTCACTTGTCCATCTCATGGAATTAATACGCATCCCATTAACCAAATATAAGAATCCACACTGACACTGAGAGACGCATGTTTAGACACAACCCACAACATTTTCTGACATTCTGAATGTGTGTTCAGACAGAACGCAATTGCGTTCAAAGAAAGATAAATGCAAGTAGTAGACAGAAATTAAATTAGTTCATTTGATCTCCTAACTTCATAAACTGTTTTTTACTTTACCATTTGAGTCTGTGGCTACGTGTGGGCCTTCATTCCCGTCACAGTGCTTATCAGTGCCAAACCATGGCTGCATAACTCACCTGTCCAACCTGCAAGACAGTGACAGAAGCCGGTCACTGGATCACAGCCATCAGCATTGACACAGTCACATCTCTCTCTGCAGTCCAGCCCGTATGATCCCTCCTAACAACCGCAAGAACACACCAGACCAAAATATATAAATGCACTTTAGCTTAAAACTAAATAGTCTTTAAACTAATAACAAATTATATACTATGCAACATACTAGAGAAGAAGTGTTAATTAATTTATTAAATCCAGACCCTTTCTGCAAAACATTGCTGCAGCTTTTGTCACGTGAAAGAACGACTGAGCCACGAGCACTCACAGGACACGGTACGTCGCAGTATTCGTCCCTCCAGCCCGAGGAGCAGGTGCAGGTTCCGTTGACGGGATCGCAGGCCGCCCCGTTGGCACATTGACACGTCTGATTGCAGCTTAGTCCCCAAGTACCACTGGAGCAAGGGATGGAGCAGTCCACACCCTGCCAACCTGGACAGAGACAAAGTCCAAAGACCATCAGTCTACAGTCTTCCTGTATTTTATGAGCATCCATGAAGCATCTTGGTTTTAGAAAATTAAAAATACTCATCACTTAAATCATTTATTGTTATTTCAATGTGGGTTTTAGACCACGATTTCAATCAGTTATGATGACAAAGTAATTGATTTATTTAGTCGTACTTACTTAGAAACACGAGCAGTCACATGATCGGACAGGTTGAAAACGAGACTACAGTTTATCCACATTATCCAGATTATGTAAACCACTTTATTTGAGAGTAAAAGTTAAAGTGAACATACCCGAAACATTAATAATCCGTATTTGCAAGGACAATATTTGTTTACACACATCTATGGCAAGTACAGCAGGAAGCTGAAGCAGGAGATTAGTCTGTAGACTGTGACAGTTAGTTGGGTTATAATGTTCACCTTTGTGTTCTCTTGGGGTTTGTTTAATTCCCGTTTGATCGTCTGACTGCTCAGGTTTCTGGATCTGTTTGACTTCCTATTTACAGTGTGGTGATATACTGTAAATAGGACTGATGGCCAGAACTAAGAAAATATGACCCAAGTTGTAGAAAACACAAATGATCCTTTACAAAACTGTGTATGAACTGTACACGCATCACTAAATTATAAGCAGATAACACTTTGATGTTGAGTCTTGATGTGGAAAGAGTTCTTGCTAGCTCATCGGGAGCGAGACAATATTCTGTGTATGAAGCATTTCAACCTTTTGACGAAAGTGTGTTATTCTAGTCCAGTTAATGTAAATCATTTTGTAATCTTTATTTAAATATTTGAAGTATTTTTATATCCTGTTTTTTCTTGCTTCTTCTTATAATGTGGACATACCGGGGGAGCCTGTTGGTCTGGGGGTTTAGGTGCAAATCACCAGCGACCTTTGCTGCACGTCAATGTCCATCTTTCCACCTTTATTCCTATCATCTCTCTACGGTGAGCTATCTAATAAATGCATACAAATGCATTTAAAAAGAATGTGTATGTCTTGATAATGGAGGTGTTTCTCGGCTATGAATCATAAACAACAACAACTTTTTTAGCAATTACTGGCTTTCATCGTGAAAAAGGAAAAGTGCTAAAACAGCACTCCTTATAATTATAAATAAAACATTACATTGAAGTTATGAGTTTCCTTTTCTCTCCTTCCTTCTGTGTAATTTCTTTAACAATTGCAAATAATCTTCTGATGTGCAGACCAGCTGGACCCAATAACTCCTTATGTCTCTTTAGGAAATAAATTTAGTGTTAATGTTTGCTCGACAAGCATCCAGCAGAAAGGAGGTTATAGTAACATGATCAACACATGTTTGATAACCCTGTTTAATCTGCCTGAACTTCTCCCCTGTAAGTTTTCTCCTCAATAGCTCTAAAAGAAGAAGGAAATAAGGGTTTACAGGGTGAAGACAGACACCCACTTGTTCTAGCCAAAGCTCTCTGGCCCCTGGCTCTGCGCTCCGCCTCAGATGTCTTTCCACTTTAATTACCCATGTTCCCCACGAGGCTCAGTGGCGCATAAATTTTTAAAGATGCTGATATTGAGAGATATTAAGGAAGATATTAAGTGAAGTGGAGAACAAAATATGAAACAAGGAAAAGTTCTGGAGATCGTTAAAGTAGGTACTTTTACATTTTGGGATGGTCATTTTGGAGAAGGGTTTTGGTGTTTCTTAATCAATAAGAAAGGCATAATCAAAAAACAATAAAATTGATGATAATCAAAACTAACCTCACAGTTACTGATATAGACAATTAAATGGGCATGGAGAGTAGAGCTGCAACTAATGATTATATTCATTATTGATTCATTTGCCCATTATTTTCTCAGTAAATCTATTATTCGTTCGGTCTAAAAAATGTCAGAAAAGAATGGTGATAAAGGCCTATCACAATCCCCTAAAGCCAATCAGCTTGTTTGATCTGTCAGACCAACTGTACAAACACAACAGCTACTCAGTTTACTTTTGACATATGATGAAGGGAAGCAGGAAGTCCTCACACTTCAGAAGCTGAAACTAGTATATGTTAAAAAATGACTTAATCAATTATCAAAATAGTTGCAGATTATTTTCCCGTCTTTCGACTGATCAATTCATCGACTACTCGTTTCAGCCCTAAAGGAGGGAATAAGAAGGATGGGTAGAGTTAGGAAAGTAAAACTGACTGTCAAGATTTTAAAAGATGCTTTTCCACAGAGCAGCTGTTGTACTGTAAAGCACTTTAACACTGTAAACAACGATTTCTTTATGTTCTTTGGATATTTCTTAGTGGGTAACAAATCAATAAAACATGGTTTTATCACAGGTATAACAGAGTCTTATGGCAAAAAGTTTTGCACCGATGTGTTTGCAGTAAGCGTCTGTGTTTTGGTGTGAGACCCTCAGACTTAAAGAGCAAAACAAACTGGAACAGATCGAAGAGGCAGAGATGAGTTTCTGCAGCTACAATGGTAGAAAGAAAGCAGTGCAGTTACAAGAGAGATGGTGCTTTGAATTACAGCTGTTGCTGCTGTATATATGTTCAACTTTAAAAGAAACAAGTTGATGCCCATTCGGTTGGGTATGTCAACAGGCATTCAGAGAAACACAGCAAATCAAAGTAGAGACCAAGAAGGTGAGGCAGGTTGAGGAAAAGTAAGGTCGCTGTTTGAAACTCTGGATTCACACGATTGCTGGCCAGCTGATAAACACTCTGTACGTAAACCACCAGAATGCAGCATTTGTGCTTATCGTTCAGATAAACGTGCAGCCGAGTACTAAAAGACATTAATGTCAGTCTCCATCATGTAATTCAGAATCAAAGACATCATGAAACTCTGAGAGCATCCATATCTCCCACTTTGTGATCAAAAAACAAAACTACAGGATGTGTCAAGACAGTGACACAGTGGTAAAACCTCAGCTAATTTAAAAGGACCGATACTGTACTTAGTTTTTTTCTGTATCTGTTTCACTTTTGAACGCATCCCTGCAAAAAGGTAAAACCTTCTGCACTCAAAAATAATGTCAACATGTTTTAAATAGTTTTTTTTAATCGGTAAAAGGAAAGAGGGGCGTGTCTGACGCCAAGAGGAAGCACCACATCAGCATCTAAACAGAGGGAAGAAGTACGTAACGACACTGATGACTTCTGAATTCTTGTTAGTTAACTGCTTTGAACTTTAATTTGAGCTGTGCTGCTGGTCGTTCCTGGGAATGGGTGTGGAGTCTCTATTCTGCATGTTATGTCTAGGTTCTAGCCGACAATTTAGTTACGTAATTTGCAATGAAACTGTAATCCATTACAATTACTATTAAAATTTGTGTGATTAAATTACAGTTGATAATGTTCATGATTACATAGGGGGTTACATCTGAATACTTTTTGTAAAAAGCTCGGCTATATGTTGAATAATATTCAGTATGCTGCTTTGCATGTTTTTCATGTGCACAATGTCTTCCTTTGCCATTTCCAGCCACAGCCGTTTAGTAAAGTTTGATGCTGTTCTGATGCTTTTGATTGGTTCTCATGTTTGAATTTGCAGCCTCACTCGTCTGCCAGTTAAACTGCCTCTCAAGCTGTCTTTTGGGAAATGGTTAACAGTTGAAAACATCGATTAGAAATAATTAAATGCAATAAGTTACATTTACTTGAAAAAGTAATTGCAATAGTACATTTTAAATAGCTTAACTTAACGGTCACCTATTACATTTCCAAAGTAACCTTCCCAACACTGCACATAGGCTACACCAAAAATGGAAAAATCCAACACTATGTAGATGACTAGTGCCTCCAGAAATCCACTGATCATCATAAATGAATGACCTCTAACTGTAACCAATAGAGGCTCCCAGAGCCCAACAGAACCTTCTCTGCAGATGCAGTAGCCGTCAATGTGTGAGCAGGAGATCTCGTTGTGGCAGGAGCACGGTGAGGTGCAGTTGATCCCGTACAGGCCTGCAGGACAGCTGATAGAGCAGTCGTCACCCTGCACACAATGGACAGACACAGAGAAAGTGTGACATTAACTTACTTCAGCTTTTCTACTTTCTCTTTTTTTCATATTCTATCTCTTTTTACTTATTTTAAAACCACAAACATCAAATCAATCTTGATTTACAGTACATACCGGCCACTACTCCAACCAAAGACAATGGAAATAAGCTGTCTGGCTTTATTGTGTTTTTATCCTTTTGATGGTATCTGTAGCTCGATCAATCGATCAATCAATTGGCTTAAATAAAAATAGTAATAAAAATAAATTAAATAAAATAATATAAAGGTTTTTATTATTCAAAATTGTGTTAATTTATTTTAATCACTTTACAGCTTTTTACAGAATTGTACAAATTTTGTAGTCATTTATAGAAAATTAATATTTAAGATTACTTTTTGTGGTACTTGTACATTCTCCTACTTTGTAACGCTCACCCACCCAGACCAATTCCTTGAATGTGAAAACCTACTTGGAAATAAACAGTGACTTAAATTTACCTTTTTCAATCATTTCTACACTCTCTTAAGTTCTTAGAAATATTAATAGACACATTTGAGGGGGATGAAGAGGGAAGATAGGATCATGCAAAAGAGATTAGAATAACAAACCTAAATAACTAATACAGTAGAGATATCGCACTGTGTCAGAGAGAGGAGTTAGAGATATTTTACATTGTGATTCCCATGAGTGTAATGAATGATATATTGGTGTGGTGATATCTGTGACTTCATTGATTTCTAGAAGTCTAAATCTATTTTGATATATCTTAAATATATAGAAGCAAAATATATTGCAGATATCTTAAACTACAAGCCTGACTTCTCAAGGTGTATTTGTAGATGTCTAATATGTAATCAGGCCAAGTGAAGCCTTTGATGGTTTAGATTTATCAGTACTGTATATGTTGGCCAAAAAGTAACAAGAACTTGCTGTACAGAAATGCCAAATTGAGTTTAAGGTCATTTAGAACATTATTATTAAATCATTTGTCCACCAGAGAACACTGACCAGCTGATCTTTCACACGTGAGCGCAGTGTGCATCTTTGTCCCAATGAAAAAACAACAACAAATCTACAGAATCCATTTGAACATTGTTTATGTCATTTTCTTTTGTTTTAAAAATTACTATTAATAAATCACATCTTTTTTTAAAACGAAATATCAACATCTGCCTCTAAAACTCCAGTATCTGTCAGGCTCTACTGGCTACACAGCAGCAGTTTCTGTGGGGGTTCTCAAAATTTATGAACGTGCAACTGTCGTCTGCATTTATGTGAATCTCTGAGTGAAATTTTTTCTTTATAAAGCCTCAAAAATTCCACAGTGAAACAAACCGATTACGGTCCATGAGATGTACACTACTCTATGGCAGCAATCCCACAATGCATTGCATCATATTTTATATATGCATGGATAATTACAGTTGTGCGACTCTACTGCTGTCATTCTGCTAAATAAATGTAAATGTGAATATGTTTTCTTTATCTGCACGTTTTCTCTTTATTTGCAGCGTGTTGAGCTCCAAAGAGTCGTTTCATGAGGAGTGCTCCGCTCATTCGCAGTCTGTGCTTCTTCCATTCTTCATGAGATGGCCTGTATCATTGCTACTGTATGAGCACCTGAGTGTGTGCACATTTGGAGTTTTAGGAACTTGACTGACAGCATGTGTTCACCAGCATCTCCGCCTCCTGCAGCTCAACTCCAGGGAAACAGGATTTGCTCAGGGTTCATCTTTAAATTTATTATAAACCCACAACCGCATTAAATTTGATGGCGTAGATGCGGCAAACAATCACATGTACTATGGAGGAGAGAGGCGATCATCACCGATGGTGCCCCTGCAGAGAAACATGATGTCTGTGCTTGTCCAATCAGTAGAGGACATGGTCAGACAAGCTAGAAGGACAGCTTGACATTAGCAGAACGTCTAACCTTATTGTGCGCTGTTAGCCTGCTGTGAAAGCCAGCTCCACACAACCTGAACCTCCAGCATGCTGTCGCATTGATCAGGGCCTTCAACACATAAACTGTGCTAATTAAAGCTGCCTGCCTCCAACCTGCTGCCTTTAAATCGCTATTAATCTAATATTCACAAAGCCAGCCAAATGTGCAAAAACAGGAGAAGAGAGAAGCCTTATTAAAAAGTTGGTGAATTAAGGACTTAAAAAAAACTTTGTTAATAAATAACGTGTGTGGTGCCCAATAAGGAAAATCATCAGGATTTCCCTGGGGAAGTGGGAGTTCTAACAAGTGACCTCTGGAATAATAAACACGTGTGGATCGATGGTTGCTGATATTTATCAAGCAATTCTGAATTCCAAGAGGTATGTGGACCTTTATCCGCCTGTTTTTATTTTTCTTTAAGATCAGAGCCAATAAATAAATAAATAAATAAACTGGTTAGTGTTTTTCTTTAAACTGTACTCAAACACACATCAATTACATGCTTTCCCATCAGTTAGAGGCAGGTGGTACCAGTCCAGCAGGCTAATAACCCTTCCTTTATAGATAGTAATGGCAGAACGACACTGCCATCCAGCTTCCAGGTGTGAATGTGTGGAACAGTGTGGAGCAGGAGGCTCCTGGAAAAGAGAGGATTGCTCTCAGCAGGTCGACTCACATCAACCCATCCTGTCATCTTTACACTGGCTTCCCGTCAGGTTCAGAAATCATTCTAAGATTCTTGTTTTCACACATCGAGCCCAGCATGGTCAGGTACTTGTGTACATCTCTGACCTGCTCCACCCTTATATTTGGGTTCAGGAGACACCATCTCCACATTTAAGAGTAGGCTTAAGACTTTCCTCTTTGATAAAGCTTATAGTTAGGCCTGGCTCAGGTGAGTCCTGAACCACTTAGTTATGCTGCTATAGGCCTAGACTGCCGGAGGATTTCCCATGATGCACTGAGCTCCTCTCTCCTCTACTTTCTCTTCCCGTAGTCTTGTGCTTCCTCTCCTCTCTCCTCCTATCACTTCCTGCAGGTGTTTCTGGCTCTGGAGCTGTGGAGTCTGGATCTGGGGTTGCGGGTTTCCTGCTGCCCCAGTGTTGCTGCTCAATCTCTATGTGCTCAACCATGTACTCAACACTACACTACTTTTGCTACAATTATAACTATTACCAGGCATATTATTGTCATCATTAATATTAGTATAATTACCATACTTCTACCGTTTGTATTTCTGTTTGGATATTGTGTTGGCTGAAATTGAAACTTAGATTCTTCTGACCAGGGCTTACTGGTCGTTTCTTGTGTCCGACTGGAAACAAAAGGAGATTGTGCATTTGAAGTGGTGGCTCTGACCCTGTGGATGTCTTCATATAAAGTTACATTTTGTGGTCTCTGTTGACGCCTTTAAAAAGTAGCCGACTCCTATTTAAACTGGCCTTTGCCTCCTGCCGCCTAGTATTTGTAATTGTGTGTGTGTTTTTAAGGTCTGTTGTTTGTTTCTTATGTTTTATTGTTGTTTCTTTACTGTTTTTTGTGGTCTTATTTCTAATACTTTTACTGTTTGTCACTTTGTGACCTTGATCTAAAGGTGCAATACTAAATAAACTTTACTTACTTACCCTGGTGAGAAAAAGGTTACAGAAAAACTAAGATGTTTTTCTTATGAATCCCGTTCAGTTCAAAGAAGAACAGCACTGTTAGCATCACAGGTGCTACATGTGAAGAGCCACAAAAACCTTTCCCTATGCGCAGTCATTTCAGAGAGTCACAAACACTTTGACTCTTTTTATAATCAGTTTCAGTAATCGGTAAAAAAACATAAGCACATTTTAGAGGCTAAAAAATTACTAAAATAAATAAAGTTATTAATTAAATAAAGTTATCTAGAAGCATGTAGGCTCATTGCACATGTAAGAGACATCACTTGATATCATTTAGAATGGCTTCTGTCTGATTTAATTATTGGGAAATCATTGATAAAAGGATTTATATTAAATAATTATAAGCTATTTTACTCTTATCAGTCTTATCAGGAATGACAGGTTTTCAATATTAATATAACCATCTGCGGAGGTTCTACCGCAGCTGCATAGTTTTTGGATATAAATAATATTCTGGCTGAATGCAACATGTCATAAACTTTATGTTCTGCTGATTATGGTATTCGATGGCTGTGAAGTGCATCTAACTTTCACGTGGAAGAGCTGAGTTCACATCCCGTCACAGATATACGAATAATGTTTTCTTTTAATTTTTTTAAACCGTAACCACAGTTTGAAGTGTTTCCTAACATTAACATTGACCATAATGCTCTCTTTCCCTAACTTAAACCATAGCTTACGTTTGTATTTTACAGATACATAGAGACCGATAAAACTGATTTATCTGGCAGGTTGAAGTCCCCTGGTGGCTCGCAGCACCTTAAGCAGCAGCTTTATGTGCTTTATATACCTCACTGCATCAGTTCAATTTATTTCATGTTGAAGTTTACACATGAATAAAAAAATCTAACAAAGCTTTCACACCTGTAGTTCTGTTAAACCAAGTGAAAAAAGGATCCGCTGTTGCATTTCAGTTCTGGTCCGGTTCATGTTCACGATGCAGTTTTACAAACTAACTGAGAGAAGTAACCGTGACGTTACACAGACGTACAGGTAACTTGTTGATTGGACAGCTTTGGCGATTGTCATCCTGCATCATCAGGACCCTCGTGGGGAAATCAAACTCCGGTGACCGACAGAAGTTTATGCAGCACTTTAATGCTTCTGATCTGTGTCGCAAAGAGCTCATGAAGTGATAATTTATTATAAGCATGATTAGTAATGTTAGACTGCAGATCGACCGCATAGCCTATTACGAATAATAACGTAAAAACAGGACATGTACAGTGAGGAAAATAAGTATTTGAACACCCTGCTATTTTGCAAGTTCTCCCACTTAGAAATCATGGAGGGGTCTGAAATTGTCATCGTAGGTGCATGTCCACTGTGAGAGACATAATCAAATTATTTTTATTTGTATGATACAGCTGCAAATAAGT